GGGGGGCAGGGCGTCCCACATTGGGGCGGGAGAGACGGAGTCACAAAGGCACCTCACCTCAAACTTGGACAGCACTTTGCCTGTGATGCCCCTCAAGGCATGGATGGAAGGGGAGGGAAGAAAGCTTAGGACCTTTATCCTAAGTGATAAAAATAACTAATCTCAAGGAGTCCTAAATCTACACTAACTAAAGCTACCTAAATATTTTTATCACTTAGCATAGAGGTCCCAAGTTTTCTTGCTCCCCGAGGCCCCTCTCCCGGCTTGTGCCATAAGCGCGGACAGATCATTTCCCTTCCATCCATCCACACTCATGCTTACACTGCCCACTTCCCCAACCAACGACAACTCGAACCCCAGATAAAGATTGCGTCAATTTAGTATTTGGCATAGATAAACAACTCGGCGCAGACCGGAAAGAAGTATGGGCCAAGTCAAGTATTTGTAAATTGAAACATTGAGCACATACCAAGCCAGTATTGCTCCTTGTTGAGTTGCATGTCATGTACCTAAGGTGTGTAATGTACATACAGGGGCCCTGCGCCATGAGGTTGCTGCAGCATGTCCTGATAGTCATTGGATCCATCCATCATCCATGCTAGCATGAGGCGTTGGAAATGGGGCCTCTGATCCCACCCATGCCCATGGATGCGAGTGATATGATCTATGAATACCCTCAGATACGACAAGACTATTGAGGATATCGCCTATCGTACCACATCTCTGGTATACTTGCCGCAGGTGGATAGAGTCTCGGCATTTTATCCATTCAACTCAACTGGGTCCTTCTCCCAACCCTGAAGATTCCGCAGAGCTTGAGATCGTCTCGTAAGCAAGCAGATCAGACTGAAAAGTTGTGCTGCTTCAAAAGATGTATGATTGGAACCTTGGTGAACTTCATGGAAAACTGGCACTTTCAATGGTGGAAACGACGTAATGCATGATATGCCATGAAAATGTTTATAGTTACTACAAATACGATTGAATTCCAAATTCTTTGCAATTAGCTTAGCTAGATGATATATTTCTCAATGCCTTGTTCTACCTATTCGAGGAGATACCGTGAGGGAGAGCTTGTGCAGTCCACTAGGGTAGCAGGAAGATGTTCTCGAAAGAAAGAGAAGGAAATTTGATTGAAAGTACTGCAACTCTACATCGGAAATTTTTGTATCATGTGGCCATGATGATGGACCGCTACATCCACAAGAGCTTTATCGCTAGTATGTCGCGGTGAGTATTGGGCCAAGGTTTCTCTTCCTTGCACAAAAATAGAAATAAACCACGGGGCATGATGGTAGATTTCAGAGTGAGTCAAGGGTTCACAAGTTCGAAGAATATCACAAGGACTGGACGGAAATGATTTGTCATGCTGCCATCGATCAATGAGTCTATTTTTTGTTTCTCATACTGGTGGGATTTTTGCATAGGGCGTGAGAAAACATTTACTCCTCAGGGACTATCACATGTTAGCGTAAAGAAATTTCAAGCAGAGGGTTCATGACTTACTGTCAATGTCTCCGCTGTCAATGGCCTCGATAATAGCCTGGGGAGGCTTGCCGTCGACCTGGCAGCCAACACTGTAGGCGGTTCCGAGAATCTCCTTGACAGTACCAGAGAGCTCCTTGGCGAAAGACTTGTATCGCATGGTGCGGGCGATCTCGATGATCTCGTCAAGGCTGACAGACTTGTTGTGCTTGATGTTCTTCTCCTTCTTGCGATCACGAGGAGGCTCCTTGAGAGCCTTGATGATCAAGGAGGAAGCGGTGGGCACAACCGACACGGCGGCCTGACGGTTCTGGATGGTGAGCTTGACAGTCACGCGCAAGCCTTTCTGAACACAATTGTTAGCATACTCTAATGTGCAATGGGATTGAATGCCATACCCAGTCGCCAGTGGCCTTGGCAATGTCTTCTCCGACCTTCTTGGGGGAGAGACCCAGAGGACCGATCTTGGGAGCAAGAGCAGAGGAGGCACCGACCTCACCACCAGTGGCGCGGAGGTGGCTACAATATGTCAGCTTCAATGTGTCCAAGAACTGCGATTGGAATCTACCTACATCACCTTGACCTCATTGGGATCGAACTTGGGAGCTGTTCATCGTGTAAGCAGGATAATCGTGCCTGATATTCAGGAGTGAGACGAACGCATTTTGTGTCGTGAAAGTCGGCAGAGGCTCGAGGTTTGCGTGCCGGAAGTAAGGAACAGGCAGGTTGATCGAAAAGAAAACTTGAAGTTGTCGCGAAATATCAAAACTAAAAATGCAAGGTGTGGGCCCCACCATTTGGACCTGCCCTAAACACGATATGCTGAGTCAGCGAATATCACGTGCTATCATCATTCGCTCCCTCAGAAGCATCACAACGCAACGAGGCACCTAAGATTATAGATCTGCGGAGGGCTGGCCTCGAATTTTGATTATTATAATGTCTCTTAACTAACATCATGGGCTTATGAGAACTGCGTCGTCACTATCTACGCCCCGTCGTAAGACTTGATTTTCCATTGACTTCTTGAGATGGCAGTACGTCTGCGATAAAGTCGTTTGTTGGCCACCTCAATTAGTACCGCTCACAGCAAGCCTAGAAAGTTTGTTAGCTCGACTCGATATGGGCAACATACGGGGTTCAAACTTACTTCATCAAGTGGTCCATGAAGGTCTGCAGAGATACGTCGTCTGTGAAAATTGTCTGAGCAGTGGTGGCTCCTACACCACCATATGGGCCAGTGGTGTGTGTAGTAGATGGGTTGAGCTTGGACAGGAGGAATCGAGCCTGAGAACCACCGGCATCGCAAACAATAAATCGAGGAAGAGGAAAGCGGTCAGTGATGAGATCCTGGACGGGTTAGTAACAGATTAAGAGTGGCTGAGGGTGAACTTACGCGAGCATCCTCCTTGGGTTGTTCCAACAAACCAGCAAAGTTCTCATAACCTTCTTGATCTTGGTAACCAGCTTTTCTCCATTCAGCAATTGTTTCACCGTGGAAGATGAGAATGTGGAAGAAAGTATCGAGAAGCAGGATGTGAGTTGGTTGGATAGAGGCAGAGTCCAAAAGAACTGGCTGGCCGCCATCCTGGTCGAAGGTGTAGGAGTCCAGGGTTGGCTGAATCATCACGAGTGAGTTGCTGACATCTTCATGGTTGAGCACGTGACGGTAGAAGGCTGTTTCATCAGGAGAGTTGTTGAAAACCTGCAGGAACTGGCTTCGTCTGAGATGGAACATGAACTGGGGGTATAACGTGAAGTTCTTCTCCAGTCGGAAGGATGAAGGATCATCTTTCCTGTAGTCCGCGAATCTGGAGCAGAGACGAATCAACATCCTGTCAACCCAGCGTAGGACATCAGGGCCATCATCGACCTCGGCCTTGAACACAGCAATTCGTGACATAAGGACAGCGGCGGCCTCTTGGTCGAAGGACTGCGCGATTGCTGGGTCCCCAGCAGGGCTACTCAGGTTGCGGGCGACAGTCGTGACGCGGAGGTGGAACTGGCCCGATGAGTGCTGATAGTACGTCAGGAACTGCATCATGCCCTTCTGCGGTGCTTGTTGATGTGTGGCAGGACCTTGGCCGGCAATCTCAAAGTAGATTCCGTAGCTCGATTTGGGGTCGATACCGCACATCTTCCAAGAACATGTGTTGCCAATTCCACATTCAGTCTCGCCCACAGAGATCGACTTCTTGTTGAGAGAGACTGCGTGTCCAATAAGACCTGTGACCTTCAGTTCCTTTGTGGTCAGAACTTCCAACACTGCGTTGAAACCCATGAGTAGATTATCATCGCCATCCTTCTCAAAGATTCGCACAAAAGATTGTTTGAACATAGAAGAAGTGAAGCTATCAGTCAAAATCATATGACCACCGGTTGAATTGCATAGGCCCTTCATTTCAAGGAGACCGACCTGATCCAGACAACCAGCAAAAATGTCAATGATGTGACCATTGTGTGCCGTTCGTTTGGCCAAGTTTTCGTAAAACTATGATGAGACCATCAGAATGAGTTCAAAAGAGTGGAAGTGCTGAATGACACACCTTCAGGGCCTTTTTGTAATACTTAACGTTGTCTCGATCAATATCATGGTGGGATCGAATAGGCTCTCTCAACTCGGGTCCCACGACCATGCCAGGGCCTTCAGTAGCAGGGCCTCCGGCAAATAGCATGATGCGCCCACCTGCATTCTGGAAAGATGACTCCAAAAGACCGACGGCAACGCTGAGGGCGACTCCGGTGCATCGAAGGTTACGTCTGTCATTCGCAACTGGCCAGGGGTCCTTTTGAAGGGATTCGAGAGCCTTGGTCAGCTGGAACTCGGCCTGCTGGACAGGGAGGAGGAAGCGAGATGCCGGGCCGGCAGGGAATGGACGACCAGGCTGAGGTTGCATGCCGGGTCGTACGCCGGAGGATGACAGACCAAGCATCTCCTGGACTTGTTTCGCAGCATATTCCTTGCTGCCTCGGAAAACATAGGACTTGGCGCATTCCTCGTAGCCAATCTCGTGGACATGAGCCTATACAGGCATTAGTGGCATAACATCTTAATGGGGGGGGAATGAATGGTATACCATTGTGCCATAAGTGATGAGACCAACAAGAGCGTTCTCGGGAAGCAGACTCAAACTCATCACAAGCGATTCTTTCAAAGAGGCGAGGCTGTCAGCCTCCTGGCACATATCGACGACATAGAGGAAGATCGGGGGCGCAGGCGCAGGTCGGGAGAGGCGATATTCTATTGTGGTATTCGCAGGATGAAGTTCGGGGGGGATAGCGTTTGCAGTAATGTCCTTGTAGTGCGGTGGAAGCTGATTTCTCGAAAGGCAGAAAGGGCAGATCCAAACTCTGGCACGAACATCGACTTGACTTCAGTACCAGGTCAGCATATGAAACTAGAGCAACCGTTTAGAAGGGCATCATACCAGAACGGGTTCAATACAGAGCGACAGGGCTGTTTGCATGTAACAGGCTCGAAATGGAGGAGAGGAGTATCGGGCTTCTCCTTTAACGGGGTATAGAGAGCGCCAATGGGCACGACGAGTCTAGAGGCTTCCTGTATAATGTGAGCTCAAGATCGAGCGCCATGAAGCTGTAAACATACCATACGGGAGCTGGGAAACACATTCCAGCTCAGACGGACACCATCACGGTCCTCGACCTCGCTCCATTGCTCCTTGAGCGTCTCGTAATCCATGGTCGGGGTTGGCTAAATAGCAGGCGCTGAGTGGGACGTTGAAGAAGAAGTTATTATAGGAATTGAAGGTATAAGGTGAGTATGCCAGTTGGGTTGCCCTGCAGAAGAAATGCAGATGTTGGACGCTGAGATAGCAACCAAGGCTAGGGATGGAGCTATGTGTTCACAACGAGACTCAGGCTCTGGCCAGGTTGATTGACGACCTTACTTAGTGGGGCAAGGCTGAGAAGTGGCGCTCGACGCCCCGATAGATACTACTGTGTATACGTTATTTAGGCAGGCAAGAACCATATAAGTTTACCTAAGGTAGGTATGACTTCCAAAGTAATACGGGGTAACTTTTAATTATTCTCAAATATCCTATAAGAATATTATTATTTTTCAAATTTACTGTCCAAAGTTGATCAAAATATTCCATACATCTTCACTTACCTTAAGGGCATTACATTTACAGCCTACTAACTAATCTCTCTTATCTTTAATCTTCTTGCCTACCTACTACACATGGAAAAGTCCGCAGCAGTCACCGAGCCTGAGCCATCGTCGCCCATCGCAGTCTTGACTGGTGAGACTCTAGAGCATCATGTAACACTACCACCTTATTCTGGGCCTTCTATCCCATCAAGCGCTGTTTCCGCTCCGGCTTCACAAGCCATAGCAGCCCATAAAGGCCCAGCACGCTTGCCTGGACTACCGCGAGTTGATTACCGTCTTTACTCTCCCCCTCTCTTCAAACTCTCCAACGACTATAAGACTCTCTCATCACGTGCGGAATATTTATCGGCCAAGCCCGAGGCGCTTATCGCTCTCATCCGCGCACAAGCCTCGGTGCCTCCCAAGCCCCAGATTCACATTCGAGGGAGTCGGGGGCGCAAAGTCGACTTTGACATCAAACTTAACCTTATGAGCCTACTAGTCCCGGATGATGATAACCAGCGTCTAGACTATCTTCGATGTGTTGGCGATGGGGAGCTAGCTTACCGTGGAGGTCTCAAACCTGATGCCCTTCCTGAAGTCGGCGATGCTGGGTTGGATGAATGGTGCCGCCGTTTCGTTCAGGATCCTGCTTCTGTCAAACTCTTTACGCTTGAACGAGTGGTCACAAATCTCGATACAGCATGGCTTGAAGGGCAGTTCCGCAGCCTCGTGGCAGCACTCAACTACCGTGGCGTAGTTGATGTCAGCTTCGTGGTTACCCATAGCCGTGTCGTGATACAGAACCCGGACAAAGTCAATCAGTTCTTCACTAGTGTGACCAGCCTGTTCTCTGGCAAGCACAAATACGAAGTGGTCAAAGCCGTCTGGCCATTTGCTACAGCGAAGAACGGGGAGCCTGACAGAAGGTGTATTGTTCAGAGTGAGGAAACTTGGTGGAGAGAGTGGAGGGATCCAATCAAGTATGCTATCTCACAGAAGCGTCACGGTTGGGTCACAGTTGAAGACAAGCTTGAAGCTCTAATGGAAGGCAAGGGGCATGAAACAGGAATTATTGATTGGGGCCCGGAGAACATGGGGTAATGTGCTATTACGGAATCTCAATGAGGTGTTCGTCAAGTGAACGGCCGACTGCTCCAAGGGCTACAGCATTGGCCCTTTTTAATGTTATAGTATTTTAACATACGGTATTAAGTGACTAATAGCCAATGACAAATACAACCCTGGTGATATAGTGCCTTTTACTTGCTATCAAGGGGAGGCAACAAAACTTGGGACCTCTATCCTAAGTGACAAAAAGCAGTAGCTAAACTTGGCATAATTTAGTGTAGATTTAGGGGATCTTAGACTAAATATTTTTAGCACCTTGATTCAATGTCAGAAGTTTCCTTGCGCCCCGGGGGCTATCAACCTAAGCAAGCTCCATAGCCAGCTGAAGATGTCTCCAGTTCGATATTCTTAATACTCACACATAACTAACAGTGAGTCACACCGCAGGCTTGCTCCGCCACGGGCCAGTTTGAACTTGATGATCCCAGAGTAGCAATGACAGACAGGCCGCAAATTGCCTGAAGTTTATGAGTCAGTGGCCATATATCTCTGTATTACCTGTCAGCCTTGCGAAGGGAAAATGAAGCATTAAAGAAGTGAGGTAAGCCTTCTTTTTGTTGGCAACTTCAAACAATACGCAAGACGACCCCTCCGCCGATCCTCTCTATCTTACCCCTGGGACGTTAGCAGGGCCCCCCACTACACTTTCAACCCAGCTTATCTTCTTTGAGGCATAGCGCTTCCAGATCACTTATCATCATTCAGCTCATATATACCCGGAATCTGGAGAATCTTATACAAGTTATGGAGAAGACAGAACAAACATCACTGTATGGGTTCGACTCGCATGAGACTGCCCTATGTGTTATCCCTCCTCGTGGACTTTGGCTATCAGTGGATCGCCTGAGAAGTCTTTATGATAAGGCATATTCAGCGTGGCCTCCTCACGTTAATCTTATCTACCCATTTGTCCGGCCTGAAGTGCTGGGGAATGCAGCTCAAGCACTTGAAGGGCTTGTGATACAAAATCGGCCTCATCTTGCACTCAATGTTGCTGACTGTTTCAAACATAAAAATCGCAACACTATCTTTCTGGGTTCGAACTCAGATTCTACTACAACCGAGCTCTCAAAGATCAGGGATATAATCTACAATGCTCTTGGCCGTTCACATGGAGCTCAAAATGAACGCTTCGTTCCTCATATGACCATCGGTCAGAGTGAAGACGCCGAGGCTGCCCCCCATCATTTTCTCCTCGAAAAGGCCCGCCTCTTGGCACCGATAGAATGGGAAGTGAAAGAAATTGCTATTCTTATTCGCGACGGCGCACTTGCGCAAGGCGGAAGCGGACCACGGCCTATGAGGCTTTGGGGGACTCTAGATCTTGAATCGGGAACCTTCCATCGGATAACACCGCCTCAAAGTTTTAATGATCATCTAGACGAAATGTCTACTATTGCTTTCCAGCCATGCTATCACTCGATCCAGTCTTCAGGGGCCTGGGAAATGGCTGAGTCGACAAACACATCTCCGGATACCAACGAGGTCATCCTTGAACAATTGGTTGTTGCTTCTTATAATGTATTGGCAGAGTTTGAGTGGCCTCCTCAATCATATCGGCATCCAGCTCTGGTGGAAAATCTGCTCTCAGCTCGTGCTGCTGCCGATATTGTTGTTCTCCAAGAAGTCACAGACCATTTTCTTCCTGACCTCCTCGCCAACAAGGATATACGTAGTCGCTATCCTTTCGTCACTCATGGGCCCCCAGATCAGTCCGGTATTGGGCCGCTACCTAGCCTCCTGAACACTGTCGTCTTGAGTAGATTTGCGTTTGAATGGCACTATCTCCCATTCCATAGGAAGCACAAAGGCTGCACCGTGGCCCGGTTTCCCGGCATCGGCACACGAGATGTTGACGATGAGAAATTCAAACCTTGGATCCTTGTGGCGTGTCATCTGAGCCAAGGGCTTACTGACGGCGCCGTCGCCACCAAAAAGAAAGAAGTCCAGAAGATGCTCGATTATCTGTCTGCCACCTTTCTGCAACATCCATGCATCATTGCTGGGGACTTCAATCTTGCGACTTCAACTTACACCATTGGTGCTGCCAAGAAAAAGCATGATATTTCTGCCCAAACTGTTCGTCACTTGCGAGATATTGACCGGGCTATCTCGGATTCTGGCTTCTTAGATACATGGCTGGCAACGAGACTGGAGTCGGGCGAATCTTCAGACATAGCTAACGAGAAGAGGAACGTCCTAGACTCTTTCCAGGGAGAGCAAGGCGCTACTTTCGACCCACTGACAAACACACTGGCGTCTGATCTTGTTGGAAATGGGTTGAATAACAGACCGCAGAGATATGACAAGATCTTGATCAAGGCAAATGGTCACTATAACCCGCATGGTTTCAATACGTTTGGTCAGACAACCTTCGAGTCACCGGAGCAGGGCGGTCCCACATACGCCAGTGATCACTGGGGCATAAGATGCCTTCTGGTAAAGTCGTCACCTTCTGATATGTCTCGATCTTGTGTTCCTGAGATGAAAATTGCACTTCAACAACCTCCTCCTGGCTTGGCTAACAGCGAGAGCTTGGAGGACTTCTTGGAAGGTCGTGGATGCTTGCCGAATGAGCAGGAGAGGACCGACCGGGTTGAAGCGATCAAGACCCTCGAAATGGTTCTCAAAGATGCTACATCCTCGATTTCAGAGAATGATTCCCGATCTGGGCCTGCATTCATTGTGGTCCCAGTTGGCTCTTATGGCCTCGGCGTCTGGACGAGTTCTTCTGATATTGACTGCCTGTGCATTGGCCCATTCAGCTCAAAGACATTCTTTGCATTGGCTGTTCAAAGGTTGAAGCGAGCGACGACCTTGGGCGTCAGAATCTTGCGACGAGTTAAGGCCAATTCAGGTAACATGCTGGAGTTAGAAGTCAATGGCATCAAGGTCGATCTCCAGTATTGTGCAGCTGCATCGATAGCTGAGAGGTACTATTGACTCATGTATATATTCAACAGGGAAACTGCTAACTCTCGAATATAGATGGCCTGAAGTTATGAAGCGCCCAGCCAGCGACCCAGCGTTTGCTTTGTCTTTCCAGGCACTTGCTAAGCTTAAGCCTGTTCGCGATCTGTTCTACCTTCGCCGCTCACTTCCAGATATGGTACAGTATCGAATGGCGCACTTGTTCATCAAATCTTGGGCCCAGGCGCGAGGTATTTATTCGGCAAAGTTTGGATTCCTCGGTGGTATTCATATTAGCGTCCTCCTTGTACCGGTCTGTAAAGCACTGGCTTACGAGAATGAAACTGTAACCCCAGCCGACATTGTCGTCACATTCTTTCATTATTACTCAGAATTCGACTGGAAGAACTCGATGGTTTTTGATCCGTTCTTTCACAAAGAATTGAGATATAACCGAACATTCCGAGAACCCCTCTGCCTGATCGGTTGGCATGCCCCAGCACTCAACACTGCCCCTATCGCGTCTATCCCAACAGTGGCCACCATTTCTTCTGAGTTTGGTCGTGCCAAAAGGATGCTATCAGATGATGACTGTATCTGGGGTAAGCTGCTCGGTATTGAACCCGAGACAGCTCTAGGATCAGTTCAAGCCCCAGCAGCTACAGAGTTTTTGCATGCATTCAAAACATACATCAAGATTGATGCGCATTACTGGGGCCCGTCGCAGGAAAAGAGTGGCCGTTTCATCGGCTGGCTTGAGTCGCGCTGTGTTATGCTACTAGTTGGTAAGCGCGTCCCTTTCCTTTGGCAGGATGTATCATATTGACATTGTCTAGATATAAACAGGAAACTGAAGCATCTACTCGCACGCATTTGGCCATCTCGGTTCTTGGATGTGTCCGCTGGAGCAGAGACATCTGGCGCAGAATATCATGGTTGTTACCTCATTGGCCTTGCATGGGACGATGACTCAAACAAAGAAGATGCTAAGGAGGTGGGTATGGCCATGCAGACAGTACTGCAAGACTTTGAAGCGAGGATTCGCCGAGACGAGAAGTACTATGACTCTCAGTTCTGTTGGATGAGTGCAACTGTCGCAAGGGCTCATGATCTTGGTACATTGGAAGTTGATCAGAGTCTATGGGGAGAATATGGGGGCGAGACAGATGATGACGAATCCGATGAAGAGCTCGACGAAGAGGAAGATTTCGACGATGCTGAGGAGGAATCAAAAGGGCATAAGAGCACAGGGCCTGGGTCCAGAGCTGCGGTTGTGGGCAAGACACCAGGGCTGGGCAAGTTTCGCACAGCTGCTGATGTGCTCAATCGGCTTCGCTGGGACCCCAATTTCGATTCAGGCGACTACATCATTGGCTACGAAGACCGCTTTCTCGGAGCTCGTGAGAGGGCAGTGGAACATTGGAAGACGGAACAGACTGATGAGGAGTTTATCCCGCAGCACCGCATACTCTACTTCAAACGGAGGGAGGACAATGTCATTGTGTGGGAGCGACGGACGCGGATTGACGAGATCTTTGGCAGTGGTGTCAAGATTGATAGGTGAAGTCTGTACATGACTTGTCATAATCGAATTAAGGGCCCTCAAATCACAGCAGAGATCGACACAGGAACATGGATCTGGTCTGACAGAGAAGCAGGCTAGCGCGTGTGAAGTAAATTCGGTGTGCCGCGTTGCGCAGCTGCGAGACAGATGGATATGATGCATGTGCATGTGCTAGATTAAGTAAATTACTTATTAGATTATGTATATACATGTTGTGTCGAATGGCGACAAACAACTTGCTCGTATCTGGTTTCGGGCACCACTGCATGGTAAGACCCGAGCGAGGCCCGAGAGTGGTATCCTGTCATTGTCAGGGATAGCATTAAGTATCATGGGGAAGTGTGCGACAATCGGTTGCTATCACCCAATAACCTCCAGAATAAGCCCCAGCATCGCCTTTGCGAGGCCAGGTAATTTACAATGCGGGAGTCTCCGAGGCCCAAGACATGGAGGAAATGCAAGATATTGGACGACGAGAGTGAAAATGCCAGCCCACTTATGGGCTCTCCAAAAGGCTTGGTTACCAGATGACAGCTGCCATCTGCTGGGAACTAGGATTCAAGTCCCAACTGGCGTGGCGCCAAATTCCAGGAGATTGGACTAACAGTTGCATCACATGCATGATGACGATGACCTCTATGGCTGGCAGTTGAAGGGCTGCTCTCATTCTCGCCGTGGCATGTGGTGAAGGAAGTATAAAACCTTGCATGATGACGCGCTAGGTACGTGGGGGGTGGGACTGTTTCATGTTTCAATCCATCCGTAGAAAGAAGGCAGTAAAGCCCCCCTGCACATATCTCCGGTCCCTCCCACATACGAAGACCACCTCGACTCGAATTGAAATCGCATCAGCCTCACTTTCGGGTCCACGGATAACACCATCGTGGCATTGCTGGCTCAGACCCTTGAGGATGGATAGAGTATAAAGCTTCCGGAACCGTTGATCGGTTCTCCTTCAGGCCTTTGAAGCAAAAAGCACTCCATCTCAACTTGAATAACATCGTCCTCCCCACACGAGCCAAGTGACCTACACAAAACTCTCAATTACTTTCTCAGCACCTTCACCATGGCCGTTGTCGAATCTCAGTTGCCTGTCAACAGTTGCTGTACTGCCTGTTGCAAAGCAAACGATCTCGGAACTCACGACTACTGCGGCACATGTCCCAGGTGTCCCTCCTGATGACTCTGCAACTCGCCAGTCGCCTCTGTAGCCTCAATAAACGGGCCAGAGGACCAAACAATGTTTTTGGCTGCGCTGCTGTTCTCAAATTACTTTTGCTCGACTCCTGATTCGCGTGGCTGCCCAGCATCTTTGAGGATCGCCAGGACTTGAAATTGGATTGAGCATGGCAGTAAATGAGGGGGGAGATGGAATAGCAGGTGAATAAATCCTTCAGGCTTCATACACTGTGCCTCGGGCAAGATCGGGGAAACCGGTTGGTTGGGTGAATCAAGATGGTGACAAGATATTGATGATAATCATCTGGGATAAACATCCTGGAACCAAGAGCGGAACTGCTGCTATAGGTCGGCTAGCAGCACACGTCGTTCCATTTCTCATCAGCGTGTCCTCGTCCATAGTGCCTAAAGGTTCAGGCTCATAATTACCCCCTTTGCCCTATGCTCAGGAAGCCAAACTGGAAAACACAGCGGCGATGGAAGTCTTATCATATTTGACGTACTTGCCTTTGCCCTTGTCGATTTCGTGATACCGGTCCCAAAACCGCTCGTAGAGAGGCTGCAATTTCTGGCGAATGTCCTCCCCAAACATTCGCCGGACTTCCCGCTCCATGCTGTACGATTTGTGTCGAGAAACCATGTCGTCAAATGCGCTGTTGAATTGCGTGAACTTCTCTTTGATCCTGTCTTTGTCTTTGCTTCCCAGCCCCTTGACGATCGAAGTAGAGTCGACAGGTCCAGAAGTTGGACGATGCGCACGATTGGTATGTACAGTGTCGAACAGGTGGACGGAAAGGTCTTTGCAAACATCCGTATAAGCTGCCGTTGCCTTTTTGCGCCATTGCTCGAGAATGTCAAGTTTGTTCTCCAGCAGCCCGCTAAGTTCCGAGTTCTGAACCATTCTTCCAATGATGACAACGCTATTGGCCAGAAATACTCCAGCAACAGCTCTGCTCTTCATGAGCACGCGTGACTTCTGGTCCAAACCAGAGAGGAGCATTTCGATAGTATCAGTGCAGTAATGCGAAAAGATCTCTTTACCATCCGCTCCTATATCGAACGATGCTAGACTGGGAATTGCATCGGTCGAGCGTCCGCTAGCCGCCGCGTTGGAGTTCCATCCGCCATCCCCTAATGATATCATTATGCTCGAGATGGGGCGTAGAAAGTGTACCATCGTCTGAAGGCGCTGCATTGTCTCCGAGACGAGGGATATTGGAGCGCCATCTGAGGGTAACATCTGTAGCATGCTGATCTTGCGCCTGGTCTCGTCAAGGAGCTCCGCAAGGGACGACTTGGCGGTCTCTCGAACAGGCTTCAGGGCTGCAGCGAGTGCTCCTTTCAATTCTCCGGTGCGTGTTTCGAGCTTGCCTGAAAGAGCCGAGATGATCTCGGTGATTTCATATGCCAGATAACAGTCGGTGTTGAGGTGATTTTTGATATGAGCATTGAGTTCACGCAACGTTCGGGCAAGCTCAGCCATCGCTGCCTGGCAAGTTGACTGGAAGACCACACCCCAATCCTCACGCGAGAAGACACTGCACACATTGTCGTATTCGGAGACAAAAAGGCCCTCCATAGCTTGCGAGTAGGTCCCTATTCCGTTGGTCCCCGCACGGTAGACAGCATCTGGGCTCTTCTTCTTGGCGGTGTTGACACTTGCGGCAGCAAGGTTGGCCAAGGATGTTGAGAGGTATGGGCCGCGTACCTCTGCATATATATGGGCGAGCTCAGAGGATCCGTTGTGGTGACTCTCGATGACATATGAATAGACCAGACCGAGCCGGGCTATTTTGTCCTGAGGTAGTGTTGGGAAAGGCTTGTCTTTTGTGATAAAGTGCAACGGCTCGACGGATCGAGGAGTCTCTGCGCGCAGCAATGTTTCGAAATGGGACTCCAGCTGACTATTGCCTGACTTGATGAGTCGTGTTAGATCGGCCATCGTTTGTTGGTTGGCGCGCAAGTTGGAGGCTTTCATCTCGTTCAAGGCCTTGCCTAGACGTTTGATAGAAGCCAGGTAATTGGAGAGACCGGCCTTCTCGGGGCCGACTCGAATGATCTGCTCTTCGTCATTCTTGCTATCTGCAGGTTGGCGCAATCGGTCAATGGCGGCCAGGACTGAATCAACGTCTACCCAATGGTTAGCCGTCAGCATTGGCTGGACATGGACTCTGTTTCTTACTATTTCCCAATATTTGCAGTCGCCTGGTCTCTCCGTTCAGAGGTCCTGCAACATCTTGGACACTCTTCCCTGTCGACTCGAGTCGGTTGAGGCACGATTGAATCTTCTTGGTCAATTGCGTCGTCTTTTCGAGCCGCGAATTGAGGACGTCAACCTCAGCCCTTGCTTCTTCATCTAGAGCGGTATGCGCGTTGCCAGAGAGTCCGACCGACATTGTGCACGAACACCGGTGAATAGCATCCGTTCAGGTAGTGGGGTGGCTTATGTGTGGTAGTATAGGAAAAGCGTCGTAGGAGAGATCATTAAGGTTGAGAGTTATGAGTGCTCCGCGTGGAGGACCATGGGGATCCCAGCATAAGGCAATGGCACGGGCAGGCTTGGTGTATGTACGGATACGTTACCTCCCTCTTGAGACCTGGACCTAGGTCGTTACGGAAATTGGACTAGCTCCCTGACGAAATAGGGTCCATTGTAGCCACACATCAGCCACCTCTGGAGGCCAGGTTTAGCTACCACTTTACGCGAAAGAGACGCGTTCTTTGGAAGGGAGCGCGGGCAGGGCCAGCAATTTCGAGCAGCCCCCTAGCAACGCCCCGCCTGGTTTACTTTCACCCCTCGATCTGATTACCGTACAGTACCTTAACCAGGTTCCATATCGGCATCACTTTTGACCAAGTCGCTCATTGTAACGACAATACAAGGAACCGCCGACATGGATTCTTTTATGCTTCAAGATGAAGGCGTGCGCGACCGCATACGTCAAGCGGAGGAATTCCTTGATCCCAGTATGTCCACCGCCCGTTCTCCAAAAAGATCGGTCGTTGTGCCTAGCTAACTCTTTTCTACAGATGATCCTCAAGTCCGAAGTTATCGATCCGATATTATTCTTATGCTACAGAAGAACCAGCGTCGATTGACCGTTAATCTCGATCATGTGCGCAACCACAGCCCGGACCTCGCACAGGGCCTGCTACAGCAACCCTTCGATTTCACTCTGGCTTTTGATCAGGCCCTGAAGAACATCGTCCAAACCATTCCGCAGGCGCGACCTGACCAAACCGCAAAAGACACCATTTATTATTGTGCTTGGGCTGGCAGCTTTGGCTTGAACGCTTGCAATCCCCGTACATTATCGTCTCACCTCCTCAACTACATGGTCTCTATCGAGGGCATCGTGACTCGATGTTCTCTCATCCGCCCCAAGGTCGTGAAGAGTGTTCACTACAATGAGAAGAAAGACATGTTTCATTTTCGCGAGTACCAGGATCAGACCATGACCAACGGTGTTACCACTTCAAGCGTCTACCCTCGCGAGGACGACGACGGTAACCCACTTATTACAGAGTATGGCTTCTGCACATACCGAGACCATCAGACCATCTCCATCCAGGAAATGCCCGAGCGAGCACCTGCAGGGCAGCTCCCTCGCGGAGTGGATGCCATTCTTGACGACGACCTCGTCGACAGTGTGAAGCCCGGCGACCGAGTGCAGCTCGTCGGCATTTATCGAACGCTGGGCAACCGTAATACCAACCACAACAGTGCTCTCTTCAAAACGATGATTCTGACGAACAATGTTGTCTTATTGTCTTCAAAGTCTGGAGGTGGTGTGGCGACTGCAACCATTACCGATACCGACATTCGTAACATCAACAAAGTGGCCAAGAAGAAGAATCTTCTGGAGTTGCTCTCTCAATCGCTTGCCCCCAGTATTTACGGTCACGACTATGTCAAGAAGGCCATCTTACTCATGCTTCTGGGTGGTATGGAGAAGAACCTCGAAAACGGAACACATCTGCGTGGAGATATCAACATTCTGATGGTCGGTGACCCGTCCACTGCTAAATCTCAGCTGCTACGTTTCGTCCTCAATACTGCACCGCTCGCGATTGCGACAACTGGTCGTGGCTCCTCGGGTGTTGGTCTCACTGCAGCAGTAACTTCCGATAAGGAGACGGGTGAGCGCCGACTGGAGGCCGGTGCCATGGTCATGGCTGATCGTGGTGTCGTTTGTATCGATGAATTCGATAAGATGTCAGACGTTGACAGAGTTGCGATCCACGAAGTTATGGAACAGCAGACTGTTACCATCGCAAAAGCTGGCATTCACACATCGCTGAATGCTCGCTGTAGTGTTGTTGCTGCTGCTAACCCTATTTTTGGCCAATATGACCCTCACAAGGATCCTCACAAGAACATCGCACTACCTGACTCTCTGCTCTCACGTTTCGATTTACTGTTTGTCGTCACAGATGACATCGAAGATACGCGAGATCGACATGTGTCAGAACACGTCCTTCGTATGCACCGATATCGCCAGCCAGGAACTGAAGAAGGCGCTCCTGTGCGTGAGCAAGGTGGGCAGTCCCTGGGGGTCTCCGCTTCAAATCAAACTGAGTCCCAGGGGCCAACCGAAGTCTACCAAAAGTATGATGCAATGCTACACTCTGGTGTCACTATCACATCTGGTCGGGGCTCAAACAAGAAGCCCGAAATTCTTAGCATCCCATTCATGAAGAAGTACATCCAATATGCCAAGACGAGAATCAAGCCCATTCTGACACAAGAGGCTTCTGATCGCATCGCTGATATCTATGTCGGTCTACGGAACGACGAGATGGAGGGCAACCAGCGAAGGACCAGTCCTTTGACCGTCCGTACTCTGGAAACCATCATTCGTCTTGCCACAGCACATGCCAAATCCCGCTTGTCAAACAGGGTGGAGGAGCGTGATGCGGCTGCTGCAGAGGGTATCTTACGCTTCGCTCTTTTCAAGGAAGTTGTTGAAGAATCGCGGAAGAAGCGGAGAAAGACTCAAACGGTTGACTTTGCATCATCTAGCGACGAGAGTTCCAGTGATGACGAAGATGACGATGGTGGCATTGCCAATGCCACGCAATCAAACAGGTCGACTTCGAGGGCTACACGCAACAGCAGTCGCCTCCAAGCGAGAGAAGCCAGTGACACTGCCCGGTCCAGCAGAGAACCTGATGTTCCTGAGGATGACTCGCAAAGCACATTGCGACGATCTAGCCGGCGAACACAAGACCAGTCACAATCGCAGGCTTCATTTGCATCGTCAATTCCAGCCTCTCAGCTACCATCCTCGAACCAGCTAGAGTCGCAGGATGGCGACGAGGACCTTGCCAGCGGTGCTGCTGCACTGGCAATTGACGATACTCCCATCAGCTCTGAGCGACTGACAACCTTCCGAACAGCCCTTGGTCAGCTTCTCAACACAAACCTGTTTGAAGATGACGCGGCCGAGCTGGACGCAGTCGTGGAGGCAGTGAATAAAAAGATTGGGAACCGTCGCGATGCATTTGATAAAGGAGAGGCCACAAAGGCGCTCCAGAAAATGGGAGAGGCAAACCAGATTATGTAAGTCTCTTTGTTGCAATTATCCACGCGTTGACTTACTAACATTCATTTCAGGTTCACAGAGGGAGATCTTGTGTACAAGATCTAAATCTTGTAACGTGTCGGCAATACGAGGCGATCGACTGGCGTTGGGGAAATTTTTTTTGGTGCATCTATTGGTAGGCTTGGTACTACTATGAAGTTGATAACGGCATGGATAACACGAGGTTGGTCGAGTTATGTAGTTAATGATTGATGCCAGGTGAATAGAATTCCGCAAGGCCTGTAACGGCCTCTCTCAATAATCGAGACTTTGATTCTGGGAGCTATGACCAATTTGTGGACAATAAGCCTACCTACCTACCTATGGTTGAACTGAACCCAGAGGAGGAGGAAAAGGCTAGAATAAGAGAAACTCAACCTTTCCCGCAGATATTGAGCCAAGCATCAATTGTCCAGGATGTGCTAAACAAAGAGTCTTTGATTGAATTCATGAGGTGCATTTTTGATCAGCAACCATAAGTTTTGACAATATATATTCTGTTCTGTACGTAACCTTACGTGTACCAACCTGGGCAGCAGTTCCGATATGCCCAACCCACCATGGACACCGCCTAATCCAAAGTCACTTAGAATTGCTCACTCATCCGTTCCTTTGAAAGTTGGCCCATCTCTTTCTCGGTAACTCTAGCCTACATAACGATTCTATAACTGAATCACAGCTTGTACTAGAGTCACAGTAGTTACCAGCAAAAAAACCGACCCTGGTATAGCAAACCTAAGCGTCCGGACCCCTGTTCTTTAGGATCCGATTCGTTTTCATACTCAACACCCTGACCGCAAACTCCACCAACTGTTGAATATTTCTATTCCCGACCAGTCTATGAGCTGAGACTGTACAGTTCGGCAGTAGAAAAGACGTTTATTTATCGAATAGCCAGTGTCTCTACAGCGAGTTTATACCGGTTCAAGGCCTGTCTTGCACCCTTTCACACAACTGGTCATTGCCGTTTCTTTGTCTACTTATCTCACTATTGATATCAGGCGAGAAGCCATATCTCACAAGCACCATGGCAGATGTAGCCGAAACTCCAGAAATTGAGCTGCCTACTGACAGCAAGGAGGCTGTTGTTGTAGAGGAAGAGAAAGACATAGACCAAACGAATTCTGAAGATGCAGAGGAACACAAAAACGGTGATGAAGGTGCACCAGGCACTGAACCAGAACCTGAACCAGAGGCAGAGGCAGAGGCAGAAGCAGATAAATCCCCAGAGCATCCCCCGTTGGCCATAATTGAGGGCAAGGCCAGCGACTCGTCAGGCGAAGAAGCTGTCCCAATCGATTTTTTTACGATGGGCATGTTTATAATTGGTGAGAAGATTCATTAACCTAGCCAGCGCCCTTGTCTATAAAACTGTTGCGTTACTCAGAACAGACACTAACTAACTTGACTGGAAAGATGATATCGACTTCATTCCGCCAACTCCGCCTGTCAAAGACATCCTTGGTGGCGCTGGCACCTACTCGGCCCTTGGAGCTCGCCTGTTCTCACCCCCGCCCAAATCTGCTTCAGTTGGCTGGATTGTCGATCAGGGCTCAGATTTCCCGCCTTCTCTCTCTACGCTCATCGATAGCTGGTCCACCTCGGCTCTGTTCCGTCATGACGGGCTTCGGTTGACCACGCGAGGCTGGAACGGCTATGAAGGCACTGCCGAGAAGCGAGCTTTCAAATACCTGACTCCCAAGAAGCGCTTGACTGCCCAGGATCTTACACCAGCGCTGCTTAAATCACGATCGTTCCACCTGATATGCTCCCCAAATCGATGTAGGGATCTTGTCTCCGAGATCACCTCACTTCGAAAGAAGGTCGTGCCCCCTGAGACATATACCAAACCCATCTTCATTTGGGAGCCTGTGCCTGATCTGTGTACCCCTGACGAGTTGCTCAATTGCACCAACTGCTTACCTCTTGTCGATATCTGCAGCCCGAACCATGCAGAATTGGCTGGGTTCATGGGTGACAGTGGACTTGATCCAGAAACAGGTGAGATTTCTACCATTGCTGTAGAACGAGCCTGCGAGCAGCTTCTTGCAAGCATGCCTCTGCAATCATTCTCTCTTGTTATCCGTGCTGGCGAGAAAGGATGCTACATCGCGAAGAATGGAGGAAGAAAGCGAGGCCGTGACCCCAAGACGACCAAGCGACGAAAAAAAGATTATGTTAGGGGTGGCCTTCAGCCAGATACGGATATGGAGGCTTTGTTTGCCGGCCTTCTCCAAGATGCCGATGGGATTGTGGCTCGCGAAGAGATCGAGGTTGATCCTGGTGTCGAGAAATGGGTTCCCGCCTATCACACTGACCCATCCAAGGTGGTTGATCCTACGGGAGGTGGGAATACCTTCTTAGGCGGCCTCGGTGTGGCTCTGGCCCGAGGCGAGAGTCTCGAGGACGCTGTAGCCTGGGCCACTGTTGCCGCAAGCTTCGCCATTGAGCAGGTCGGTGTTCCAACGATTGGTAGAGACGCTGAAGGCCGCGAGGCTTGGAACGGACATAATGTTGAGGACCGTCTCCGCGAATTTCGCGAACGTCTATGAATGAAATGAAACATTGGATATACTATATTATGAACTATATTATAAAAATAGGATGGGTGATAGGGATTTTAGAATAATAAGAATAAAGCACATTGGACATAGGTTATTTAAGCTCGAGTCAGCCATCAACTGTTCTAAGTAACCCATTTCCCACACAAATCTTCAAAGGTCTGGTACCTGTCTAGATGTCTGGGTTTGCGTCTATTATATCAGTCGGCATTTGATTGCCCGGTTCCGGCGTTGATGGAATGCCTCCCTACGTCTTGTATGGACAAAAGCAAGCTGTTGCGATCCTTACCCAGCTTGGGAGGTGTTCAATTCTTGTCACGCCCCTCTAGGTTAGCCAGTCTTTAGCGCATGGTCGATTTCTGAAATATACTTAGACAGTACTCACCCCCACAGCACTCTGAGGCGCTGGTATAAAGTATATTTGTCGTACATTACATGCTGCTTCCCCTGTCCCTGGAATAGTCATCCCTATTTGGATCTTGAACCTCCTGGACCGAGCTCCAATCACCTCACCTCGTCTCATCTTCAATATCTAAGTACCTATTCAATTGTTTGTTAATTAACTCTCTCTTAGCTTGCATAGCTAGCGAAAAAGAAACAGCATTGGATCACTCAATCTCTAAGCTTGCTGTTCTCTCCCATTTCTGCTTGGCACTAGCTACCTACGACCTATAACTCGAAAGCTACTCGCCGTTCCGTCTTGCGCAATCCTCCAAAGCAACTATCCTGTTGCCTGAGCACGTCGCTGCCACCCGATCAACTATTCTTTCAGGGGCCCAGGCATATCTTCGGCTTCCTTTATTTCGAGCAGAACGCTTTCAGTCCGCTGCTTCGACTAAATAATAACCCAACGGGCGATTATCCAACATGGCTGCTAATAGTCAGATGCACAACCTGACTACGCTTATCAAGAGGTAAGCTCTTTACGCTCGTTGCGTTGTCAGTCCGAAATGCGCAGACGCTGATAAAAGTCATCCAGGCTTGAAGCTGCAACTTCGCGCCTCGAGGATATCGCTTCTTCGACCGAGCCTCCTGCCGATGCCGCCGTTCTCAACCAGGCGATACCTTCACCTCCGAACCCCTCCTTAGCCGCTCCTCCTCCTCCAGCCGCTTCCGATTCCAAGGCCACTACTCCCGCTGCCGCGAAGCCCGAACCTGTCGCCGAGCCGCTGCCAGAATCTATCGAGGAATTCGATGCTTTCCTGAACACTTCCGTCGATAAATATGTGAAGTTGAGCCACCAGCTAGGAGGATTGGTCGCTGAGCAGGTACGCGCAACCATCTGAAGGATTATGAATACGCAAAAACTTCTAGGGGGCAGGGACTAATCATGGTATAATATTAGGCTGCGCTCGTCAAATCTGGTTTCCAGGAGCAGCGCAAGTTTCTCCTGATTTCCACAAAGGCGAAAAAGCCAAACCTCTCCGGACCTGATCTGCCAGTATATGAGAGCCTCATCAAACCCATCAACGAGGCACTGATGGCTGTTACCGAGCTCAAAGACGCCAACCGTCCTAGCCCTATGTACACGCAACTCAGCACTGTCTCCGATGGTATCATGGTTCTTGCATGGGTTACCATTGACACTCGCCCCTATAAGCACGTGGACGAGTGCCTTGGCTCGGCTCAATTCTTTGGAAACAGAGTTTTGAAGGAGCAGAAGGATAAGTAAGTCAGCCTCTTGGCTTAAACAGATCACCTTTAACCAGATTATCAGGGACCCCAAGCAGATCGAATGGGTTCAGAGCTTCTATCAGATGTTCCGCGACCTTGCCGATTATGTCAAGCAATACTTCCCAACAGGTATTCCATGGAACCCGAATGGCCAGCCTGCTCAGGAAGTTCTTAAGTCATTGTCTGCTGGTTCTGCGCCTGCTTCCGCTCCCACTGCCCCGGCACCTGCTGCTGGTGGTGCTCCTCCACCACCACCTCCTCCCCCTCCTCCTGGCCCTCCCCCTGTCCTTGATATCAAGACAGATGATGCTCCTGCGCCTGCATCATCTGGTGGATTCGGGGCTGTCTTCTCAGAGCTCAACAAGGGCGATGCTGTCACTAAGGGTCTGCGTAAAGTGGACAAGTCCGAAATGACGCATAAGAACCCATCTCTTCGCAGTGGCTCAACGGTTTCAAGTGGCCAGAGGGGTAAGAGCCCTGCTCCTGGCAAGAAGCCTAAACCCGAGAGTATGCGTATCAAGAAGCCAGCCAAGAAGGAGCTAGAGGGCAATAAGTGGACTATTGTATGTTCTATGTGGGAAAAGTATTGTAGCATGTTGTTAACTTTACCAGGAAAACTACGAGAAGGAGGCCGAGCCAATTGAGATTGAGGCCTCACTTACACACTCGGTTCTCATCAGCCGTTGCAACAACACCACCATCATTGTCAGGGGCAAGGCCAACCAGGTCACAGTCGAGAATTCTACCCGTCTGTCCTTGATCGTTGATACCCTTGTTTCGACAGTCGATGTAGTCAAAGCCAACAACTTTGCTCTTCAGGTTATGGGCACTATCCCAACCGTCATGTTGGATCAGGTCGACAGTGCCCAAATCTACTTCAGCAAGGAGAGCATAGGAACCAAGGTTTTCACCAGCAAATCAGCGGGCGTCAACCTCAACGTTATTTCTGGCGAAGACGATGACTACAAGGAGGTGCCCCTGCCTTCGCAAATCTGCTCCTATTACGACGAGTCTAAGGGAGACTTGGTCAACGAAATTGTGGCCCATGCCGGCTAAAGCAGATGGCATATACCTTGGATCCGCATATGTAGGAGTAGGATAGGTAGGATATTCAGACAATTTTCTGTGGTGTAGTTATTTGGGCCCGCATCACATGTATCTAGACGTGTAATGGCAACTAAGACTGGGGGTGAAGGGCGCCTCTTTCTAGAATCTTGGAACTTTTATCCGTCATTGGTTTGGTTGTGTAATCTATGCTGCCTTTGCTAAAAACATGTCGCTCTGATATCTAGTGCCATCTATATGGCATCGCACAAAAAGACGGTCAAGTCTAGAGTACATTGTCCAACAAGTAAAAACGCCGTTGATCTGAACCGCGACAGTATGCCAATCCATTCAACAGCAAGAGACTCCTTCCGCCTGAGATATATGTTGTGTGTATATTTACAGTTTAGCCTTGGGGGGCTCAAGAGTAGGTGTGAGCAGCTCGCGCATATCGTTAGCTGCCTCGTTGAGGTAGTAGCTCATGCGGTCGCTGCCCAGACCCTTAGAAACGACATTGAAGTTGAGACTATCGCCATGTTAGTAGAGTTAATTTTCCATTGGACATTTGGGGTGCAATATATACCTGTTCTCGTTGATCATGTAGGCAATACCAAAACCAGCATCGATGACCTGGCTCCAGCCATAACCGTTGAAGAACTCTGAGCTGAGCTGAGAGGTGGACAAGTGCCATGAGCTGGAGTAGCTGTATGCGGGATCCTGGTAGATGGCAGGGACCTCTTGGCCGGGCTCGAGAAGCTTCTTAAGACCGAAGAGATGTCGATCAACCCCCTTACCATCGGAAGCGGCGGTGATGTATTCAACGTGGGCATTGATGGCTTTGCGAAAGAGATCCACGCGTGTCTTGTCGTCAATGGAGGAATCAGACATGGACTTGACCCAGGCAACAGAGTCGTCAGAGACAGTTCGACATGTCTCAGTACGTCCAAGTTGGAAGCGTCGGACAGCAGCCGACTCATAAGTAGGTCGACTCTTGCCATACATCTTGTAGTAGGCGAGTTGGATAATCATCTGAACGTAAGCATCGGGAGAGCACTTGAACTTCTTGATGAGGCCCTTTCCGTAACCCTGATAGGCCTGAACGGCAAGCTGGTGCTTGCTGATGACATCGTTGAAGTCCTTGGTTGCGCGATCAATCTCGCTCTGTACTTCTTTTGTGATATCGAACTTGACGACTTGTGGTTCGGGCAAGTTGGATCGGATGCTGGGATCAGAGAAGTCGAGCTTGTTTCCAAAGATGAGGTCGTTGACGTAGTCGTTGAGGCGATGAGTGGGAGTACCGTCCATCATGGAGTGCTCGCCCATGAAGCCAGAAGTGCCATTGTCGTTGACAATGAACTGCAGAGGCTTGTCGTACCAGCGGTTGGCACCATCACCGTGCCAGTATTGGTGAGCACGCTCCTCGAGTGTGACTGGCGCCGCATCATCGAGGCAAACCACGAAAGAGGACGACTCAATGGCCTCGAGAGCGTCCTTGTTCTTGGGGCTGGCCTTGAGCAAAATGTCACGAGCGTCAGTCCAGACATCTCTGTTCTCTGAGGTGAGAGCGCCAACAGCAGGAACGCGTTGGGCAAGCTCATAGACACGCTTGAATTGCTGCTCAAGCTCTGAAGTATTGAGCTGCTTTCCGTTAACCTCGTGTTGGATCTTGAAGAATTGGTTCTTGCGAATAGCAATAATGTGCTTATTTTCCTCAGGTGAGAACTTGACAGGGTAGTCGGCTGGCTTAGCCGCAACACGGGAAGCGTTGAACATCCACTTGTAGCTGTCCATGCAGATGGGCAACTTCTTCATGTACTCTGGCTCCAGGGTGCCGGCGTCAACCTGCTTCTTGAACTCGAGGGCAGAGGTTGTGATGGCAGCAGCTCGCTTTGCGGGGTCTCTTCTTCGTCGGTCGTCCCGGTGAGAGTAGAAGTAGCTGACATAGGGGACGACGGGATCGCGGTATGAGAGATAGGCTGCATCGTTCCACCACTCGTAAATCCAGTTCTTGGTGTTGGGGTCCTCGCGCTTGGCCACCAACTTCTCCTGAAGCTTGGAGCCTACACCACCAGGGCGCACAAACTCCTCGACGGCCTTCTTGCTTGCCTCGTACTCGCTGGCAGACAGTAGGGGGTGTAGTGACTTGAGATAACGCTTCGCAGTCTCCTCGAGTGTTGGGACGGGCAATTTAGGAAGGGAGTCTTGCCATCGCAACATGGGTCCTTTGGAGTGGTTCTCAACATAGCCTACTCATAATTTGTATCAGCACGTTGGGTCCGAATATTTCAGGCCTGTGGAGGATAGCGCATACCTGAGGAGGCGGCGGAGCTGTTGGCTCGCTTTGTGGGTGCCATGATGAGAGTTTGTGCCTGTTTTTCAGATTGTCAGATGCGTTGATCAGTCAGAGGAGACGATTTTCATGGTGAAATGGGTGAAAACGATCGACTTGAGCGGAAGAGCAACTATGATGCCTGTCCATCTGTCTATCATGGATCCGGGCGGGTGGAGCATTCGATCACAAGCAATCCTAGGACCCTAGTTCCTGTCGCCCGCCAATGACTCGGCATCCAACCATCAGCAAGAGGATAGAGGATAGCCGATGGATTGCCATGCCTTTCTCTTTGTCGACCACATGTGAAGATGCCTCATAAAGAGCAAAGGTGTAGTTGTCATGATGAGGGGGTTGACTTACAGCGCGTGTCTTGGTGAAGTTACGGAAGCTGTTCCTAAGGGCGGGCGAGCGGGCTGAAGTCAACAACATGGCCAACGCGAAAGACAAGCGATCAAAGAAGAAGAGTAGGAGACGTCGAGACGAGAATCGAGAGAGTTGGGGTAGATATGTATGCGACAAATATTTGTCGGGGCTCTATATTAGAACAGGTAACAGTGCCGGTTTCGCACACGACGCTTATTGCTCTGGCCTCGGCTCAGAAGACGGCAAGCTTCCAGAATGGAGTCAATCGTAGAGTAGGGGACAAGGGTCACCAGATTAGACTGGATTGGATGGACAGACACGATTGATATCAATCCAGCGCGAGACTTGTTATGGAGTAGTTCGTTGACAGCCAAATACGACGTCCCAACGTTTGCTTGTGACCGAGACGTCACCCGCGCCCCTCAAAAGCCTTGGGCCGAGGTACGAACTTTCAAGGGCCGACGGGACTGGGGCAGGGGATACGCTTTCCAGCCAATCATGCATCTCTAGATCCACCGTCTCCGAGGCAATCACTTGAGCCTCTTCTGGGGAAATAACTACTCCAGCCTGACTAAGTAGGTATCTTCTGTTTCAACTACAAGGGTCGGACAAAGTCGAAGCATTTCCCTATCATAGTCAGCTTACTCTGCTCTGTTTAAAGTGCTCACATGCCTCCGGTCATTCTTCACAAGTAATCCACCAATTTACACCACTACGCCATAAGAAGACACTACGTCAAAGCCTGAATCTACCCCAGTTTTCCTTATTCGTGGGGAAGTGGAGAGAGCTCATCTCCATTTGATGTTACTTGTTCCCTTGGTCCATTGCCATCTTCCAAGCCCTCAAATCGTCATACGGAGCATTGCGAACTTGGTCTCTTACACTGTATATACTGTCTCTTCCCCGTTTGCCCGATCATTGATGTGATCTGGCACACACAATATGAACTACCTTAATCAATCATTGCAAACTGCAAAACTCAACATACATAGTACAATCCGACAGTCATGGATCACACAATGAGAAAACTCGATAGGTAGAGAGCATAACAGCTAACATAAAACATTCCAATTCGCCAATTTACAACCCAACCGTTCATTGACCAAATAATTTCTGCTGCGACAAAACCACCAAAGCATCTATACCATGTACTAGTACACCCTCCGCAGAAGACTAGATTAACGTGCAGGCCTTGTGTCCATCAATGGCCAAGTTGCTTTCTGAAGAATCTCCCAAGTTGTCTCTGGTCAGTGGTTGTAGAGACCCTCAAGGATGTGCTTCAATCTCATCCGTCACATTTTAACCAGCATCGCGCAGACGCAGCTCATATTAAGTGACAGAAAGTGACACAGCTTGAGATCCGTGATGATCCCGGCACTTCAATTCCTTGTACCAACCAGACGCCGTGACTTTGATTCCAAGTGTCCAAACAGTGCTTTCCCCTAATTAGAGCTCATGCTATCCAGTCTCAATTCCGTCCTTCATGCCTCGTAGCTCTTAATTTGGCCATCACTGCTGGGAGGTGGGACGGCCTGCGCGCCTGGGACGGCCTGGAAGCTCAACCGGTCTCCTTCGCTCATAGCTTCTTGTGCAAGTCGTACGCCTTGTTCGCCTCCAACAGCCGCGGCAGCCTTCAGGCCCTCCTGTACTTCTCGAACTCTACGTCGGAAGGTCAATCGATCGAGAAACAGTTGCTGTCTTGCCCGTTCAAGCTCTCGTCGCTCCGCACGTAGGACGGCCTCCATCTCGTCGAAATACTTGAGCTTCAATTCAAGTTTTTGTAGTGTCACATTTGAAGCAGCGGAAACCAGGCGAGTCATCTCGCGTTCTTCATGAGATGCAAATCCGGCAGCCCTAGCACCTATCGAAGCCAGAGGAATGGATGCGAGCGCGTTGGTCTTTGTGGTGGTCGTCGTAGTTGTGGTTGTAGTCGTCGTGGTCTCTTGTCGGAGGTCGATATCCATAGAATCACTCTTGGCTTTGCTGTCACCGCTGGCCTGGGAATCATCATCGGCTTTGTCGCCGTCGAGCTGCTTGCGGAGCTTGCGCTTGAGCTCTTCGGCAGATTTACTTGCGGCCGCTGCCGTACTGGCTGGGTCTGCCAAGCTAGCAAGGAAACCGACGACAGACATCACAGGGTTATCAACTTGGCTGAAGGGAAGCTGTCCTTGTTGGGGGCCAAGCATAGACAGGCCAGTCGGGGCACTGATGGGAGCCTCAGAGTCCAAATACTTCTCCTCAATGTCCAGCTGAAGGAATTGGAGAACACACTCTTCCCTTGTGCGGGTACCAACATGCTCTGCAATCTCACCCCAATCGTCGTCGAATCGCTCGAGGCCTTCAAGGAGTCGCAGAATCTCGGCATCCGTCCATGGAGCATCGCGGTCCAAGGTCGATGTGTAGGTGGGGTTCTCCATCTTCACATACATGTTGCTGTTATGGTTGGCAGGCAGGCGACCCTCAGTGAAGCAGTTAGGGCAAAGGTCATATTTGGCCTTGGGGTTGGCATCTGTATGGTTGCTGTGATAGTATATCCGAGTGCAATCATTGCCGCACTGGTGGCAATGGACCTTGGCGATGGGGGTCTTGGTGGCATCATCGGCACCAGTTGCGCCATTGGTGGCTGGCGTCTCACCATTGGTCTTGCCCTCAGTCTTGCTAATGAGGGTGTTCTTAGCATTGGCCTCGTAAATGTTTCGTCCAATTTCGAGGTTCTGCTCCCCTTTAGCGGGAGCGGCAGCAGCAGCCTTTTGGTCGGTATCTTGGCTCTTCTTGCCTTCCAGAACCACAGGGTCGGCAGAAGGTTGCCACGCCTGGAGGCCTCGGGGAGTATCGCATATGATCTTGAAATGGCCAGTGAAGGGTGGTCCAACGTGTGATGGGCGTTGCTCGGCGTCAACCTATTGGATGTCAGAAAACCTGAAAATGTCGTTGACAAAGCACCTTACCTGATAGTTGATCAAGCCCCATTGCTCCAAGAAGGCGTGGACGCGCATAATGGCGCAAACATCACCAGCCAAGTTCCTGCGGCAGGCTGTGACTGTCAGATATTCAACAGGGTTGAGGCGATATGTGTTTATCATAAAATCGCGGTAATCCTTGTAGACAGCTGGTGTTTTGCTTCGGTTACGGTTGTTGAAGAACTCGGCCATGGCTTTACGCTCGATTTCGTGAATAGCATTCATGTCGAACCAGGTACTGTAGCTGGGAAGGACAATCGCGTGAGTCTGCGCGATGAGATGGTCGCGAGCAGCCGACTCAACAACCTCCTTTGACTTGGATTCTTGACCATCTGTAGCGGCCGCTCCATCCTCCTTCGTCTTGGCATCATCAGCGGGCGCATCGTTCATCTCCTCATCGCCTCGAGCTGGATGTCTCAGTAAATATTCCATCATGTTTCAAATAGTCTGGTTACCTGGCGCAGGAGTTGTACTATCCTGTTTGATGTTTGACTCAGTAGCCAATCCCTCGGACATCTGGATGTCTATTTCCCGTGAGTGACATGTTTAATCGAGGAAGCAGCAATCGCAATGCGCACATACCTTCGCTGTCGCCTGCACCTGACTCTGGCTGCAGGGGAGGCTGAGCGAGGATAGGGTTGCTGTTGGGCGAGGCACCGTTGCCGGGCGAGCCATAGGTAGCAGAGTCGTCCATCTTTATGGTTACCGCGATCAGACCGCGAACGGTAGTTCAGGACGGCGAATCAATCGAGCGCGCACAATCAGATTATTGTGCGATATTTGGCGAACAGAATTATCACGAATCAGAGAGATGATTGTTCGTACGTCGTCGGGAATTCGATGTCGCTAGCGTCGTGATGTTGATGGAGTCTGGCGATGAAATGGGTCGCGTCTTGGAGAAATTTTGGCGCGAAGTGACTGGCCTCAGCTTCGTGACATTTGGACGCGCAGTTCCAGGGGGAACGAGCTGCATCACGTGGTATCAGTGTTAGCTAAGCATTGTGCACTGACCCCTCCGTGGTAGCTAATCCATTAACGAGATCCAGATGCCAACGATTGATAGTTCAGATGCTTTCTGATTATAGGCTACAACTGTTTTCTATATGTGCTGTTTCAGGTTTCCCGATGAGATTGTACTCGTCAATTGGTTTAGTCGCGAGCTTGTCAACGCAGTTCTCAAACATTTAGACGCAGACTGAGATCTAGCCTCTAGCGGTTATCGTTACGATACCATGATACCTACGCAGTAGGACAAACTTAGTCTCAGATCAACAGAATAAAGCATAATATAGAGACCCAAATATCTCCTTAAGTTTGGAGACAGATCAATGTAGCTGTTTTATGATACTCAAGCTGTCATGTGAATGGATATCACTTGAGCCGATTCGGCATTTTAGTCCACATGCCGTCGGTTCCCGGTCTGGCCGATGGCGGCGGTAGAGCAAGCGGCCTCGACCTCGGGCCGTTAACAACCGTCGCCGACTTAACCTACCTCACCTACATCACTCACTCTTGGACCTGGAGAGGGCAGTTGAATTGCCATCACCACAAATCAATCACACCCTCACGATGCTTCCGACCGCGAAACGAGTGCTGGCACAGAGGGCCACTGGCCTCATGGCGCGCGCGCACGCCTACAGCCTCGGCGCACAACGGCAGCGCCTGCAATCCACATTGGCAATCCTCGAACAGAAGGATGGTGTACTCAACCACAGCTCGCTGAGCGCCTTCACAGCTGCGAAGAAGTTGGGTGGACCAGTACACGGGTTTATCGCTGGCAACAACATCAAGCCTGTGGCTGAGGAGATTGCCAAAGCTGAGGGCGTCGAAAAGATTATTGCTGTCGATAACAGTGCATATGAGAAGGTTGGTGGAAAGGTCCATGAACCCAATTACACGCGCGCAACACTGACTCTCCATCAAGGGTCTCCCCGAGAGCTATGCTCCCCTCTTGGTTGAGAATATCAAGAAAGGCGGTTACACACACGTCATCGCAGGCCACACTGCATTCGGCAAGAGTGTCATGCCTCGAGTGGCCGCTCTGCTCGATTCGCAGCAGATCTCAGATATCACAGCAATTGAGAACGAGAACACATTCGTCCGTCCCATCTACGCCGGTAATGCGATCGCCACCGTTGAGTCTTCAGACTCTGTCAAGGTCATCACCATTCGAGGAACTGCCTTCGCTGCTGGTCCCCTAGAAGGAGGTTCCGCCACCGTTGAGGATGGAGTTGACTCCAAGCCCGAGTCACCTACCGAGTGGGTGTCGGAAGATTTGGCCAAGTCAGACCGTCCTGATCTTTCGACTGCAAGCCGCGTCGTGTCCGGAGGGCGTGGTCTCAAGTCCAAGGAGGAGTTCGACAAGGTCATGCTTCCCCTCGCTGATGCCCTTGGTGCTGCTGTCGGTGCCTCTCGTGCTGCTGTTGACAGTGGCTATGCCGATAACAGTCTGCAGGTGGGTCAAACAGGCAAGGTTGTTGCTCCTCAGTTGTACATGGCCGTGGGCATCTCGGGTGCGATTCAACATCTTGCAGGTATGAAGGATAGCAAGGTCATTGCTGCGATTAACAAGGATCCCGATGCTCCCATCTTCCAGGTTGCCGATGTCGGTCTGGTTGGTGACTTATTCGAAAAGGTACCTGAGCTGACTGAGAAGGTCAAGAGCTCCTAAGCATCTAGGTGTACAGGGTGTGAAGTACAGAGTGATGTAATATACAAACAGTTAAAGTGCCCGTCTCTGGTATCATTCGAGGACAGTCAACATTTCATCCGTGCTCGTGAACTTTTCTCTCTCTTTTCCATTCTTTTGCCCACGCTCTCGTTCTGCGCGGTCAATCTGCCTCCAGTCGTCCCACGCAACGGCTCGACATGTTGATGGCCCAGCGTCGTGTCTCAGGCCCTCCCACCCTGTCACACTGTCATGATTTGAAGCGTTGAGAAAGCGACCGCCTGATAGCCAGTCGTGAACAATCGCATCACCCGTCGTGAAGGCGTCCTGCATAGTAGATGCGATCACTCCGGTCGGACCGTTCTTGACCCAACCGGCGCAGTATACTCCGGGGACCCTCTCATTGTGAGCACCTCCAGCATGCGTATCAGAAACCATCCTCGTCACTCTACCAAGGCCATCGTTGTCGACAACGCCGCGACGATCGTCAAATTGAATACCGATTTCAGCAAACCCAGGCAGAGCTACGGATTTGTATCCAACCGAGCGGAAGACAACATCAGATGGCAGGATAGTGGTCTTGCCAGTGGCTTTGACAGATGACTTGGGGTCAAATGGTGCTGCGAGTTCTGTAATGTCGAATTCAGTACTTGCCACCTTGGAGGGTGCATCCTGGTTTCCAAGAAAATGCTTTGGTGAGAAACAGCTATCCAAAGACCATGACTTGGAAGCTGTCTCGTGGGGGGTTGATGAGCCCTTCACCAGCACTTCCATGAGTCGTTTTGAGGCACGTGGCAAAGACTTCAGATCCTCGGGAACGAGTGATCGATTGAAGGGTAAAAACCCTACGTCTCTTAGTTTCATGAGTTCCCGCACCTCTTTGATGGTGAATGAAGCCTAGCATCTGTTAGAGCTGTGATAATTAAGCCATCAACAGTGAGACCTACCTGCATCGGCCCTCTTCTTCCTACTACATGGACTCTCTTAACCCTGCTTTTGGACAGCGTCTCAAGCGCCTTCTCTGTAATATCCGTTCTTCTGAGAACGTCAATGTCTTCCAAAAGCATCCGTGCAACATCGAGAGCAACGTTTCCTTGGCCGATGACCACAGCTTCCTCGGCTTGTGAGAGGTCCAGGTCTAAGCCTGAACATCCAGGCAGACCGTTGTACCATCCTACAACCTCACGCGCTGAGTGAATACCGCTGAGGGTCGATTCGCCCGGGATACCGAGTTTTTTGTCTTCGGATGCTCCATATGCGAAAAGAACAGCATCATAGTGCTGCATGAGGTTATGCAACTCTATTGTGCAATGCTTCGAAGAGTTGCCAGGATGACCAATAGAAACATTACCAATGAATGTGAAATTGGGCTGTGATGCAATTTCATCAAATTTATCTTGGCAATTCTATTGTCATGTGAGTATTCTAGTCTACTAGTTGTTCTATAGGGTAACCAACCTTGACCTCTGGATGATCTGGAGCAACGCCATGACGAACCAAACCGAACGGTACGGGAAGACTCTCATACATATCCACTTTCACTCCTGGCACTTTCCCCATTACTCGGTAGGCAGTATAGAACCCGGCCGGTCCAGATCCTACTACTGCCATGCGAAATGGCGCATCCGGAGATCGAGAACTTTGCTGAAGCGCAGAGGAGAAACATCGACCAGAAATTACACTAGAAACCCGAGGCACTGTATCGAGGCGACGGAAGCGCCGTGCTATTGAGCACATCATCATTCACGGCTGGTGATGGTGTTTCGATGTTGTACCTCAGTCAGAGAACGACTGAGAAGTGACTCTTTATCCATTCAAGGAATAACGGGTCTATCACCGACCGGTCTTGGCCAGGGTCCGACCTCCGATGCGGCGTCGGCTTGCAGAATGCGGCAGACGTCACGTTGCTGTGCCAACACGGCCCGCCCCATGTACACAAGTTTCGTCAGAGACATGCGACACCATTGTTCTCAACCCCAAATCCAAGACCCTCTCTCGGCTCCCCAGTTTCTCGGATAACAATCTCATTATAACGACTCGCCTGTCGTGCGTGATTTAACAAACGTCCATTCCCCGCCCATATCTTATTGTCTTCATTCCAGCACGAGGCGCACAATACAGCCAACAATTTACTATCGCGCAACTTCAAGCGCATCGCGCTGCGACTACAGGCATGGCTCCGTCGCAAGCGCCTTTCCTTTACAGCGCCGTCCACAGCGACTCGCGCTTCCCGGAGCCCAAGTTTGATCCCAAGGCTGTCACAAGAGCAAGCTGGGAACCTCCCAAGCCGCGAAAGAAGCCCGATGGACCGCTTGTGTCTTTCAACAGACATCCTGAGTGAGTGCTGTGGCATTGTCTCAGCGCCGGATCTCAATGCTAACTATTCCTCAGTATGCATGAGGTTCTTACCTATAGGACTAACGAGTATGCTTCTATGAGCCCGCGCAGTAAGAGCTTCATCAAATGGCTCCGTCATGTTCAGTCCGGGCTGCGCGTATTGCAGCTGGTATCAGCTCTTGGACTGCTTGCGCTGATGATCCTGATTGACAAGGTACCCAGTCTGGAGGGCTGGGTTATGAGAATTACCGTAAGAACCTACCCTCTCACAATGTTTGCAAGCTGTAACTGACTCATGATGTAGCCTGGCGTCGTGATATTACACTGCATCTACGGAATTTACCATCTCTCCCGTGACGCCGCAGGACGATCGCCTGCATCTTCTGCATCCTATCAGCTCTTTTGCGGCGTCACCGACCTTGGTGTCGCCCCTCTCTACGCCTTTGGTGCCCTATCAGTGCGCACCAAGAGTGAAGCCTGGATCACCCGCCTCTCGGACCAGTCGCTCATGAATACCTTCAAGCCTGTTCTTTTCTACACCTTCGTTGCAGCCGGTGGTCTCCATCTCATCAGCTTAGCGATTGCTGGTTGGCTGGGCTTCATGTTCCGCAAGATCAGCCTGATGCCTCCTGATATGAACCCTCTTGAGAGTCACTTGACTGCTCGACCAATGCACAAGAGGAACAAGTCGTCGGTGATGACTGCTAGCACCATGGACAGTGATGCCCGCCTGTCGACGCCCCGAAGCGCTCGCCGGGAATCTCTCGTGCCTCAAGAAGGTATTCATGACGGCATTGAAGCACCGCGCGCCATTCCTTTCACCCATACTCGCAACGGATCGAGCACGACAATTGGAACTCGAGACTCCCGCACCAAGTTCCCGCCACCTCCACAGTACCAGAGAGGCCCTGGAAGCCCTCGTCGTGAGCGTCGCGATTCGGCTGCTTCAAGGGCCACCACACGAACTACTGCTACCCGTTCAATTTACCACGATGCCTATAGCGAGATTCCCCTCGACGACCAGGCAGGATCTCGCCCATCTAGCAGCTACAACAGGCATAGTCAACCTCGCCCGGCTAGATTCACCGAGACCTGGATGCCTACCGACTCACTCATCTCTCGAACGAATCAACGAAACCGTGAAATGGAAGCGGCAAAGACAAGTGCTGCAAACCGCGAGAACAAGTCATATGAGGCATTGGCTCAACGATACGCTCATGACGATTCTGATTCCGAATATGGTGATGAAAACAACCCATCTTACGACCTTGGCGTCAATGGTGATGAGCTTCGTCCTCATCCCCTTCGCCTGAACCCCCCTGCTGCACAGCAAGAACGCAAATCCCCTCCTCGCGCCAAGACACCCTTCTTCCCGTTCAAGAACTCATTGACCGATATCAGCACAAACGCGAGACGTGTCAGTGCGAGCAGGGATATCGCTGATGAGAAGCCAGCTTTGGCTCCCCGCAACCGTCAGAGCTCTATTCAACCAGAGTCTGAGTTTTATGCGAGATCATATGGAGAACTTCAGAGTGCAACTCCCCCTATTATGATTGGCAGCGACAATCGCAAGGTCTCCACGGGTAATGATTACAGTCAGAACACTTCTACGGCATATGGACGACGTAATGTTAGTGGTAAGATGGTAGAAGAAGGCCGAGCAGCAGGGAACCGGTATTCTTTTCTTGATGGGCGTAACCCCCTCGCGGAAAGGAGATGAGACTACGGGAGTATGTGTTTGAGTGTTTGTTCATGATTTTTAATGCAGGATGCGTCAAAGTTCGAATGTTTGGCAAGGATAAGGTTTGGGGACATGGCAAGATATCCGGATATGTAGTTTATTAGGTAGTTTTGGTGTTTGATAATACAAAAGTCTCAAATCATGAATTTCTCCCACATCTGACCGCTACTGAACAGTACTATTCACCATTCAAGTACGCTCGCCAAGATACCGATGGACCCTGTAAGTTGTCGTCCCTCCACCCCTTCGCATCCCACGAGTCCAATTGACACAGATGCCTCATTGTTGGACGGCCATGCGGGCAGTTCCAAGGCTTGTCCAACTCTGCCATATGCCGCACAAGCGTCTCCATTTGCCCATGCGTCAAAGCCTTCCCAATCATGACGCTGCTACGACATGCCCTCGATGCAAACATCTTCCTCACTTTGGAGGGACGGGGTATATGTTTCGACTCGGACGATTCCTCACCAAGCAATGCTATCAGCTCTTCAAGGTCAGTGATCGAGAAGGTCACCTCACGACTCATGGGAAGCGCCAGCACTTCACACCTTGAGCCCACGGGTTCATCTCCAGTCATGTCGACATGGACTTTGAACCCGTTAGCCTCAATGGCAGGAATACTTTGTAACACAATTTCTTCTTCCAGTGCTGTCAGCTCTAGCCTTTTCGGGTGGACTAGTCGTTGAGACTGTACTGTCTGAATCTCTTGCAACCTCTCAAAGTTATACTTTTCGTCTGTCGCGTGTTGGTCAATGATAAACAACTCATTCTTCTGAGCTACCTCCAGGTCTTCCTCCGACCCGGTGCTCGCAGGACGTGTTGCGATGATGAAACCCATGTTGAATTGCCCAACTATTTTCATTTTTAGAAAGTCCTTGCGAGCTATAGTAAGTGACAATTTCTCTTCCGCATTGGCTGCCGCAAGATCTGTCACTTCATCATCGACAGTCGTAGAGTCTTGACTTGGACTGAGGCTGTTCCTCCATGAGTCCAGCCCCAGCTTTATGAGGCTCTCGTCCGTTCGTAGGTGTTGTAGTAGTTGGGCTGTAGACTCTTTCTTCCGTACACTAGACTTGAGAGATTGAGTCTTATGATCAGTTGTGGCAGGTTCCCCCGCAAATATGAAGGGCGTAATATCAGACAAGTCATTTGTTTCCGTCTGCTTGCCTGGTCTATCGCTCCCAGCGACCGGAATAGCTGGTTCACTGACAGCTTTCCCATCCTTGTTCGCGTTGAATGTGTCACTGTCGGTGTTTGTATCTGTGCCTTCAGAATCGGAGATTTCCCCACCATCAGAACCCTGGCCCGCTTGCTCCTTACGAAATGATATCTTCCTATCTGTCGCGCCGCTGCCAGCTGCGTATATCTGTGTCAGGCGGCTTCCGAAAGACGGTTTTGGATTGTCAACCTCCATTTCATCCTCAGAAACAGCCACATTATTCGCACGGCGATCAGGAGTACTCGCAGCATCCTGTATGATCTCGTTACCAATGACTATCGTAGCGGCCTCTGATGTTGCCTTTTCCCGTGGCGTTTTCACTGGGCTAGTGTGTGAGCTCCCGCCCTGTCCACGCCTCAGTGGTTTCGTAGCAGGAATCTGGGGTTCATTCTCAAGCAATTCTGATGACTTCTTGGTGGGAGAAGAGCCAGTCTTCGTGACACTGTTTACCTTCAGTTGCTTGTTGAAATCCCGCACAGGGAGTGGCTTCCCAGCATCATTTTCATCGCTGTCTGAAGAGAGCGAGGGACTCCCGATAAAGAGGCTCGGCTCTTCTCGCCTCGTAGAAGGACGTACGGATGGACTTTGATTCTGTGCGAAAGTTGATGCTGTGGTGCCTCGGTCTTTTGGCCGCGACGTTGACCCCCTCTCTACCCATCCACTGATCAGATTTTGACTACTAATGTTTTTCTCTAATGATTTTGACCCGCCAACCCTCCTTACGGCGCCAAGTGGCACCTTGGCAACGGGGCTGCTTTCGTCACTGTCTTCATCTGATTCGACTTCAGGCTGGGAATCATCCAGAGGCTTCTGAGGAGTGATCGATAATGGCTTGAAGGGCGTGTTAGTGGTTGACTGCTTCTCAGTGCGGTTCTTAAAGGGCAAAAGCTGAGAGGTCGGAACTGAGTAGTCTTGCGAGTCGAAAAGGGCTGTGAGGGAAGTGCGTAGGTTATCGAGCAGTTGGTTTTGATCATGCAACAATATACTCCTCTTGTCTGGACTAACATTGACGTCGTACATGTGGGTATCGAGCTGAATATCCGCTAGAATAAAAGGAGCTTGTGAGCTGTTGTAAGCCTTGTAAACCTCGTTAAATGCCTTTGCGAATTGGGGCAAGCCACATGGCCTCCCATTCACAAAGAACATCTGGCGATCTGGAGTTTGGCGTCCATCACCATGAGAAGGCCGGGAAACATGCCCCACGACACGGACATCCCTAGAGCTTGATTTATGTTTTTGGTCAATTTGCAAAGCTGGACCGCCTGTGGAAGGATGCATTTCTAGAGTCAAATCGAGGGGTACAAGGACCGTCATCGTCTTTGCACCAAAGATATTGATGATGTTTTCTCTTGTCGTCGGATTACCCTTGGTCGAAAATAGGTGAATCCTTTTCCCTTTGGTAGGTTGCTGAGACACGGAGAATTTGAGATTGGTTTGAATACAAGCGTATTGTCCAAGGAGGGCGATGACCTTATTCCACTCTCGCTTTATGTTTCGCTCAAGCTCACGCCGACGAACAGGCAAGTTGTGGAAGAGACGCTCAACTGAAACGGTTGTGCCTTTTGAAGCTGCCACAACTGCAGTTCCTTTGAGGGCTCCTGATGGCTCGAAGCTGAGCTTGGTCCCCTTAGGAGCTTCGCCCTGCTGGCAAGTCGTGATGCTCACAATTGACAAAGCACACAATGAGGCTAATGCTTCACCCCGGAAACCAAATGTCTCTAACGTAGCTATATCCGAGTATGAAGAGAGCTTTGACGTATGGTGTTTGAGAGCCACTGATGGATAGTTGGCAGGGGCGATACCAGACCCATTATCAGCCACCTCGATGAGATCAAGTCCTTGGTTTTTGAAACGAACATCTGTTAGAAGGCCAGTCAGAATACTCCAGTTATTGCTGCCGACGGATTGTTCAATCGGAACGATCGGATGCCTACCTATGCTTGTTGCCCCAGCATCGATGCTGTTCTCAACCAGTTCTTTGACAACAGAGCAAAGGTCGACTATAACCTGGCCGGACTGGATCTGATGAACCTGGGAAAGTTAGTATAATGATATGAGCGATTGTGAATATGCCATGTACCGTGCGTCCATCGATCTGTTTTATAGTTGCCATGTGGACCTTTTTATACAGAGGTTCACGCAGGACCTCGAACACGATACCAACAACGCAGCCAAGGGCGATGAGACCTCAATGCGATTATGATTGCGGCACCATTTGAAGGCTGTGACAAGACCGTAGCTTTCTTTTCTTTTGTAGATGTGCAGATAAAAAATTGAAATCAGACTCAAGTACTCATCTGCTCCGTCTATCTTTCATCATGAGGTGCTATGTGAATGAATACAAGTCGGACGAAGCTCTTACATGGATGGAGGACCCACCTAACCGCTCATGGAAAGATGCTCCCTCAGTTAACACATATGCCTATAACGGGTTGCCAATCCCGTGAGTTCATCTAAGGTACCTGGCTATGGGTATAAACAGGACCAAATACCTAGATGCACTCGACGAGACGATTTTGTGTCAGACGGAAGCTTCGACCTATGAGATTTCTTTTTCGTCATGTGCCTGCATTGAGAGGGTGACACTGCATTTCCAAAATCCCGCTCCGAGATAGCTTCAGACTGATTCAGGAACAAAGAAACGAAATACAGCTATGAATTTGTAGTACTTATAGTGAGCCTCGCGCTATCAGAAAGAAGATAAAGGACAACGATAGGGGACTTTGGGTTGAGGTCTCCTGGTCTTGGATCTGCCTGCATCAGACAGCCTCGCTTGAGTTGCGCCTTGAGGCTTTCGCTTTCGATAGCAATGACGCAAGAAGGAGATAAGAATTGTGTTCCCAGCCTTCCGATATTGACAGTCAACTAAGCGTTTATCTGTAACTTACAAGACATAGGTTGTGGAGCTACTGAGTCCAGACGGAGAAGGCTTAGTTACGTTACCTTAGGTACTATAAAAACCACTTAAGATGCGGCTCCACGAACAAGAACCCGCACGTACCGATTCTCCGTCCCAGTTTCGATGGGCAAGACATGTCAAGTTTCTATTTTTCCAAGCTTTGGACCGAGTCCAAGGAAGCTATCACTGGCCAAGACGGAAGACGGGCTTGGTGAGGCACTACTTGCAGCCTAACGCGGGACTAAAGAGGACGAGGCGTTGGCGGTAGGCTGCGGAGCTAGGGAACTTTGTGAACTGTCGTGCATTTGGAGTGACGCAGTTGGCTCTTATCTTGAAGGCCAAGCAGCCTCTCAGCGCAAAGGGTGGATGAAGTGACTGTGACGCTATCCAAGTCCATTTATGAGCATTAATCGAAAGGCTGGTCGAGATATAATGGTTTTTGCCCATCAGACTCAGTAGTAACCGGCTGTAAAAATAATAATTTCAAAACACGAGCAGCCGTATCCGTAGATACACTAGCTTGGCTTCACAAATGATCCTTCAGAAAACGTTTGACGAGCCTGTAATTAAATGCCTGCAGGAAATCCCTGCCACGAGGCAGTGAGTGACAAGACGACGAGGTGATTGATGACCAATTCCCTGTCAGTTTCCATCCATGGCTTCTTGTTGGGGTTTCTCCCGCTAATGGCGCAGGCTTCTCCAAATGTGTGGCGCTTAAAAGCCAACCCTCCATGGAAGGGGAAAAAAAAAGGGGACACACAACGTTTTAGTGGTTCCGACTCGGCTGATGAGTGGGAGAAGCCATCGACATCCATCCAATTTCCCACCCACATTCATTGGGTTCAGAAGGGACTGGGAATCGGCATGCGGCATAGTACTCTGTACTTACCTACCTACCTTACTTAACTTATTGTGAACATTCATGTTGCTTTTAATCAAATTGTTCGTTCGCTAATAATTCAAAATTAGCTGCAGCCACTGTCGTTCTCGCTGTTTCTCTTTAATTGTATTCGTCGTTGCGAAAGCTTGGACGAATATTCATTCGCTACCTCGCATTGGATCCATGTTGGAGAGTCTAGAAAGTGGTCAAACCACCACAACCCCCGGTTGCATCTTGTCGCAAACGGGTCTTCTGCTGTTACGAAATCTCCAATCGCGCCTTCACCGACCCTCACTAAAATAAAACCCCTGCTGGGTTTCTCTCGTGGTGCTCTACCTACCGAACCTGTCCGTCCTAGCCAAGCGAATATTGCAAGCGTCGTTGGCTCGTTCGTCCTTGATCTTTAATCTTAGCTTCCACCTCCAACCTCGACCTTGACCTCAGCCTTGGTCTGACCTCGTTTTACCGAAGTTGTCCCCAATCAACCTAAAGATCGCCGCGATCCTCCTCGACTCTTGGACAGTAAACATCTCTTGATATTCATTTCTGTCTCCCCTCGGTTCAGGCTCGCGGCGAGTCTTAACGCGCCTTCTCCATGAAGAGGCGCTCCTCCGGGTCGGCCGATGACGGTGACGAATCCTCCCTCGACTCCGATATTCCCGACCCCGATCCTAATTCGAAAACGCGCACATCACCCGCACGAGCTCGAAGACCGAGTAGTCTCAATTGGAAGCCCTCCAACGATCGCAATGGCAGAAACGGCCAGCCTCGCGAAGAGCCTCGTCAAACGACCGCCCTGAAGCCCACCTCTCTTGCAGCACCATCCACCCCCGACATGGCTCTGGCTAGGACACCGACGCAGTCTCCGTCGCCGAATCGACGCATACCCCGTCCACGCTTCTCCATCGTTGTCTTGCTCACTTCTGCATTGGGTATCGTCATCCTTATCAGTATCCTAAGGTCTCTTGTGACCAGTCAACTCGATCCAAAGGGTTGCCGGATGTCGTACATGCGCCCATCATATGTGCGCTTCACCGAGTTTGATACGGAACATACACGCTTTGCAACCAAGTATTCGTTGTATCTGTATCGAGAACAAGGCATAGAGCCACCGGACAAGGTACGTCGAAGCGTCTTTCGCCCAGCATCTCGTTCGTTTGGCAACTAAACTCGCACGTTGATAGCTTCTGGGCATCCCTGTCTTGTTCATCCCCGGAAACGCAGGCAGCTATAAGCAGGTCCGTCCAATCGCTGCCGAAGCAGCAAATTACTTTCACAATAACCTTCAGCACGATCGTGGCGCTCTTGATGCTGGTATCCGGAGTCTAGACTTCTTTACCGTGGATTTCAACGAGGATATCACAGCATTTCATGGCCAGACGCTACTCGACCAAGCCGAATATCTCAATGAAGCTGTTCGCTACATCCTGTCGCTTTACTCTGACCCCCAACGCGCAACTCGAGAGGGCCATCTCCCTGATCCGACATCAGTTATTGTTTTGGGACACTCTATGGGCGGAGTGGTCGCAAGAGCTATGCTTGTTCAACCTAATTACCAAACGAATTCGATCAACACCATTATCACAATGTCGGCACCGCATGCTCGCCCCCCTGTCACTTTTGACGGGCAAATAGTTCAAATTTACGATGAGATCAACGATTATTGGCGTCAGGCTTATTCGCAAAAATGGGCGAACAACAACCCTCTGTGGCATGTTACTCTGGTTTCGATCGCCGGTGGTGGGTTAGACACGGTGGTTCCATCAGATTATGCAAGTCTCGAGTCTCTGGTTCCTCCGACACATGGTTTCACTGTCTTCACAACCGGTATACCGACTGTCTGGACAAGTATGGACCACCAGGCTATTCTTTGGTGTGACCAGTTTCGGAAAGTCATCACCAAGACTCTCTATGATATTGTCAATGTTCATCGAGGATCGCAAACCAAGCCGCGAGCTGATCGAATGAAGACCTTCAAAAAGCGATTCTTGACAGGAATGGAGCCAACTATGGAAAAGGACTTGCCACTGAAAGAAGCCACCACTCTTCTGACATTGAGCGACGACTCAAACTCGATTCTTCCAGCAGGACAGCGGCTCGTCCTTAGTCAAATCGGCCAGCAGCCGAAGCCTCGAGCCCATCTGCTTCCCATCCCACCTCAAGGATCTCCCGAGGTCAAACGGTTCACCGTTCTTACGGATGCTTCTTTAGACGAAGCTGGTGAAAATGGCAAGGTGGAAGTCTTGTTCTGCAGCGTATTTCCCTTCCAGTCTGGGCAAGCCACATCGCTGTATCCATTCCAAATTGATCTCTCGACCGATGATAGCGGCTCGACAAGGCTTGCTTGTAAGAACGCTGCATCAGACCGTATTCTGCTGCCTGCATCCACATCCTCGTCTAGATATCCTTTCTACCTCGACCGAGAGCGAGAAATTGTCCCTTTCTCATACCTTCAATATGATCTCGACCAGCTACCCGATCACCAATTTGTGGCTATTATAGAGAAGTCTGTTTCAAGCACGCGCAGTTTCTTGATTGCAGAGTTCAGCGATCAGTCTGCGTTTTCGAAGAAAGAAGACGCTAGTCTAGCGAAATTACTTTTATCTGGAATCACCGTGGACCTGCCTGCAAACCGGCCTCTGACCACAGAGGTCAACATCGCCTCGTTGCAGTCAGCTCTTCTTGCCTACAAGCTGGAAATCACAAGTCCCCATTGCCAAGCTGAAAAGGTCCTCTTCAGCCCTTTGGTCCGACAATATCTTGATCAGCCATACGAGTCCAAGTATTTTGTGAACGCTCAATCTGTCGATGTCAGTTTGCATGGCGTGGCTCCCTATCTTCCCCCCTCGCTGGGATCTGGGGCTGAAAAGGGGGTTACGTTCCAAGTTTGGACAGATCCTTCATGCGGCTCAAGTATTCACCTTCAGATCAAGCCTGATTTCTGGGGCAGCCTCGGCAAGCTCTACATGAGGTACCGAACTGTCTTTGCCGCTTTCCCTATGTTAACGGTTGCTCTCGTTTTGCGCAAGCAGTTCCGCGTTTACGACAGCTCAGGGGTTTTCATCTCATTCTCACAGAGTCTGGATTTGTGTCTTCGCCAGTCGATACCGCTACTGCTTGTATCTCTGACGCTCTTGTCGATGTCAATGGAAGGAGTTCCAGCTACCTGGCTCGGCAGATGGTGGTACCAAGCGCCTGCTGCACCCTTATCCATTGACTTTCATCGCCACGACATTCTTATTGGGACGGACGATCCCTTCTTCTGGTTTCTTGTCCCCCTGATTGGTGTCGTTTGCATTGGAGTTTGTGCCATGGTTCACTACATGACCAAAGCCTTCACGCATGTCCTTGGCTTCCTTTATTGGGCACTAACCCTACTCCCCCTCTCAAGCGGAGCTGAAGATGATGGTGTAGCGAGAACACCTGCATTCGTCCCGTCAACTCCCAAGAGGCGTATGATCACTACAGCCATTCTGTTGTTCCTGGTCTGGACATTCATTCCCTACCAATTTGCCTATCTGGTGGCATGCTTGGTGCAGCTTTTCACGGTGATACGAGCTCTTCGTATCAATGAAACTGCCCCTTCGGATGCAAACTCGAATTACTACCACTATGCACACTCTGTCCTGCTCCTAATGCTGTGGATTCTCCCAATCAATCTACCCATCCTAGCAGTATGGATTCGCAACTTGGCTGTTCATTGGCTCACGCCATTTTCTTCACACCATAATGTTCTTTCAATAATGCCCTTCATCCTTCTCGTGGAGAATCTGACAACAGGCAAGATGGTGCCCCAAGTTGGTAGACTTTTTGGTTATGTAACGAGCCTGCTTCTTTTCGCGACTGCGCTTTACGCCGCCATGTACGGGATCTCTCACGCGTATATGCTTCACTACTTGGTGAACATCATTGCTGCTTGGCTGGTCGTGTTGCATTCTACTAAGGACCCCTTCTCCCTAAGCGGTCTCGGCGCGATTTTTGAAAGTAGCCCAACAGAGGAACACAAAAAGTCTAAGGCTTCTTTATGAAGGACTCGTACGACCACGATCATATCGTGGATCATAATGTCTCCTGTTGCCACGCTTTCGTGCGTATCATCACATAGGATTGTCATTACTTCAACAAGGCACGACCATTTCGCGAACCATACACTACCTACTTTGTTTTCTGTTCTCACGAATTATTATTCTTCCTGGTTGGTTTGCAGCGCGGGCTTGCCCGGTAATACCTATTTATTTTGCATGGTTCTGGAATCAACGTCTGCTGAGCATCTGCTGATAGACAGCGTTGTACGCCTCCTGTCGGCACCAGTCCACGACATGAGCATTTGTTCGGCGTTTTATGGGTAGATGGCACAATACAGGGAAGGTTGGAAGAGCCTGGCTTCATTTGCAGGGTGTCAGTCACCTTTGCCTATTTTGGCTTTGGTTCTTGTTCAAACGTTGCCATTCTTAGAAATGACATGATGGTGGATTAATTCTAATGTCAAGCCTCGTTTTGATGATTGTGAAATAAGACCTTGGATATGTGAACGAGGCATCATCAATCATCAAACAGTAAACTTTGATTTGCATCTAAATCTCCAATGAGACTTTGTCCATGTTAATCTTCATGTTATTGCCTAATTGTGAAAGTGAAACGCCAGTCTATCTTCTCGTCTAATGTCCCGATTGTAATCCTACGTTCAGGAGAATTCCTTCCTAAACGCCGTTGAAGCTCCAGGTACCATCTAGTGGAATGCCACCAGGATGAGGCAAAAGACACGAACTTCAGCATGTGCCACAATTGAGCACTCCTAATCCTCTTCGTCGCCCTTATCCATTGCTCTGAGATATTTATTATGTCGGTGACGGATCGCCCAAAGAGTGATACCCGTTCCCGCGCAGCAGGAGATGAGGGTAACCCAGTAAGCTGAGCGATAGCATTCGAGTCCAACTGAGCAGAAACGCTCACCGTCTGGTCCAACAACACTATGCTGGTCATAGATTTTGCCATAAAAGATATTAAAAATGTTGGACGAAATGACGGGAGCCATGGTCAAGAAGCCCCAGTTTTGGCTTAATCCCCGAACGCCAAACATTTCGGCGACAAGAGAAGGAGATACGCCGAATAGGAAGCCATAGGCGAGTCCTGATGGACCCGAAACCAGCCCGAGGAGTTGTGGGTTCTCAATATTCAATGCACACACTTGAGCGAAGATGAAGACTGCGCAAGCGACGACAAGACACCAGAGCCTGCTGGCGTGAAGCTTGTTCACCAAAAAGTCCGAACCCACGCCTAAAGACTATGATTAGAACTGGGGAAACAAGCCTGGGTTTACTAATGCGACTCACCACTCAATAGTCTACCCAAGAAACTGCAAATAGAAAGAGTCGATACATGCATTTGTTGCCGATGAACGAGAAATTCGTCAGTGACATTTTTGTCATAGTGTTTCCAAAGAGCCTTGGCGTCGTTGCCGATGTTGCTTGAGACATGGTCAGCTGAGCACTCCGAAAAGCGATGGGAGCTAATCATACTTGATGGTCATGAGACCAACACCAGCCAAAATAGCCATGATGACAAAAAGGTGCCAAAAACTGACACTGCGCACGAGAGCAAGACCCCGGATGTCTACATGATGAGGTCCACCGCTATTAATATCACTGTTTTCAAGAGGGGGCTGTCCAGGTCGAGATATCAGGGGGGACGTCTCGCCAACCTCGAGGTCTTCGGGATTCTCGGGGGCGACCACAAGGCCAAATTCAGGCGCAAATGATATTCCATGAGAGCCCGTCCGATCTGGGGCGTCGGCGGGGGCGGTTGATGAGGATGCTACAGCGGGTGCGTGGGAGCTCGTAATTGTGTTGGTGTTGGTGCTGGTGCTGGTGTAGGTGCTATTACTACTGGAATTAGTCAACATACCGGGTTCGTCCTCCGCTCGAGACGAGCGGTAGGGCTTTGGTTCGTCGGAAGAGCCTGCTCGGAGTTGCTGGGGGTCGGTAGAAGGAATACTTGGGGTTTCGTCCGAAGCAGGTACAGCCTCATACTCGGCTTGTTCGTGATGGACCTTGAGGAAGAAGAAGCTGCCAAAAGTAAGGCCAAAAGTGCCCCAAGCGAGAAGCTCAAGGAAAGCACTGGGGTCTCCAGGGAAGAAGACTGCGCCAACGAAGGAGAAAAAGAAGGCGCTTAGACCAAAGGCGGCCAGAGGAAAGGCTGTGGCGGTTCCCCGATGGTTGGGCCAGTTGAGAGCAGACGTCTTGACAGCAGCAGCGAATGCCATACAACCACCTAAGCCGGTCATATAAGAGAAGAGACACATCAACATGACTGATCCTGATCCACGATGGTAGGCTTGATGTAGTGGAAAGTAGCCAAAGAGCATAAATATAGCTCCACCAAGAACAGCAGGTCGAGGACCACGATGGTCAACGAATATGCCGATGGGCATTCCCAAGGTGTACATTCCCAGGTTGCCAGCCAGGCCGATCAGGTTACTCTCTGTAGACGACAGCTTGAGTCGTTCTGCGAATTGCGGAGCCCAAGCTGAGTAGACATACTATAAGTTGCTGTTAGACACCTCACTCAACAATGATAGAGCTGTTGAAAAAAGACCGACATTGGTACCACAAGCCAGGGATAAGATAGTAGCTGCAATGCTGGCGATAATACGGGCCTGAAAAAGGCTTTGTTGCTGGTCTTGATGCATCTTGACGACAAAAACAAAATAAATAAGGCTAATTAAATGATAGTCGAGTGACTGAGTATGATCTAAGGTAGTTTGAAGATGAGGGGACGCGCTTCTATGAAGATAAAGTTAACATTTGGCCAGTGAGGATGATGCTGACCCAATTGCTGGATGATAATGGGGGAGGACAGAAAGAGAGAGATAGGAAACTCCTGATGTAAGAAGAGTACCCAACGTAGCACACGTGGCTAAGGTAAGGTAGGATAAGGAATAAAGGAATATTTCGGATATTGATAAGGTCAGGAACAAATGAATTAGTTAGGGGAGACGAATACTATGGAGCATCTCGTGGCTCGCTCACGTAGGTAGGTAGTCGGGACGGGAGTGGAGGGAGGTTGATTGACTGATCAATGATAACAGGGAGTCAGGGACGAACAATGTACAACTGAACGCGAAGAAGATCCCGAGACTAGCCCTTGTGAGTAATTATGCATGATACTGGGGCCGAATGCCGGGGAGAGCACAGCCACATTATAGATGTCAAGCCACATATTCGGAGTACCCACTCCGTTCTTCGGCTTTCCCTGACGACGTAATCTCACGTGGACACTCTTGATTGTAGCCTCATGCATCCTGCCATCTCCAACATCGTCAACAGGCTCTAGACAGATTAGGCACCATTCCAAAGGGTGATTCACGATACCGATTCTGGTCTCTTTGCTTTGCTTGATCTCTCACGAAACCTTATATATACCAAGAATCCACCAACCTCGACTTCAACTAGACGCCAACAACCTCATCGCGCGCCGTCGCAATGGGTGCTCTCTTGTCTTTGCCGCTTCTGGCGGTACCCAGCATTGGTACCGTATGTTACCCATCCTTTCCAATTCTCTTCTCCTGCGATCGCTAATAATCTCATCAGATTGCTTCCTTTGCTGCCAGTTGTTGCGGCGCTGCGACCTGCTCCATGGTCTGCAGCGCCTGCGGCAAATGCGGCAATAGTATCGCAACCCGTATCGCATACGCGCTCCTCCTTCTCGTTAACTCGATCATCGCATGGATAATGCTCACGCCTTGGGCTATCAAGAAACTTCAGAAACTTACCCTCGACTACGTTACGATTAATTGTCCGACTGGTGAATGCCATGGCTGGTTCGCGGTTCACCGAATTAATTTTGCGCTTGGTCTCTTCCATCTCATCCTTGCTGGTTTACTCTTTGGTGTCGCGACTTCGAAAAACCCCCGTGCTGCTATTCAGAACGGCTACTGGGGCCCCAAGGTTATTGCATGGCTCGCCTTTGTTGTCCTCTCCTTTTTGATTCCTGACAACTTCTTCTTGTTTTGGGGCAACTACATTGCTTTTGCCGCAGCCATGCTGTTCCTTTTACTCGGACTCATCTTGCTTGTTGACCTAGCTCACAACTGGGCCGAGTATTGCTTGGCTCAGATCGAGGATACCGACTCAAGAGTTTGGCGATTCGTTCTGATTGGGTCTACTCTGGGCATGTATATCGGTTCACTTGCCATGACTATTGTGCAGTACATATTCTTTGCTCGCGGCTCATGCTCTATGAATCAGGCTGTGATCACTATCAACCTGATTCTATGGCTCGGAATCTCGGTCATTTCGGTCAACCCTACTGTTCAAGAGTTCAATCCTAAGGCGGGACTTGCTCAAGCTGCTATGGTTGCTGTCTACTGCACATACTTGACTATGTCAGCTGTGTCAATGGAGCCCAACAACGAGTGCAACCCTCTTATTCAGGGACAGGGGACACGAGCAACCTCTATTGTTATTGGTGCAATTGTTACTCTGCTCACAATTGCTTACACTACCACACGAGCCGCAACCCAAAGTCTCGGACTTGGCAACTCGAATGGAATCCAGTTGCCCGACGACGATGAGCACGGACTTGTGACCCAACAGCCCAGTGCTCGGCGGGAAATGCGAGCCGAGGCTTTGCGCCGAGCTGTCGAAGAAGGTAGCCTCCCAGCTGACGCCCTGCTGTCCGATGACGAAAGTGAAGCTGGGGACGCCCCTGCAGGAGACGACGAGCGAAACAGGACCCAGTACAGTTACTCAGTGTTTCACATCATCTTCTTCTTGGCCACTGCTTGGGTGGCTACTCTCCTCACCATGAACTTTGACGAATCTACCAAGGATGGTGACTTTGCGACCGTTGGCCGCACCTACGCTGCGAGCTGGGTCAAGATTGTCAGTGCCTGGGTTTGCTACGGCATGTATACGTGGACTTTGGTGGCGCCTGTTGTCCTTCCCGACCGTTTTGACTTTTCTTGAGCTGTGATATGCGTTTGGCGGAGTTTTGAGGGAGCGCTTGTATATATTTAGCTTGGCAGACTGTGTTTAAGTTTGTTGTTTCTTATATGAATAAAGAACAATTGTACTCAGGGTCTAATATGAGTCGTGAGCATGTTTCGGAGCGTAACACTCCGCATGGTGCCTACTGAGCTGATGGTTAAAATCCACGTATTCCTTCACCGGTGAGCCATGTAGGAACGAACCCCAGACATCTCAATGCAGGTCTCGGGGACCAACCTACAAGTGACAGATGCAATGAGACATAGTAGACAGGAAAACAGGAAGACAGGACTTACCTCGAATCAGGAGTGAGCTACGGAGATTATATATCAAATGAGCCATTACTTCATCTGATTACATCCACCTTCACAGTCGTGTAACACTGGACAAGGGGGCAGGAGAGTTCGACGAGCAAGATCAAGCGTGCCCTGGCACGTGGGTGAGTCTAGATAACTGATAAAGAATACCTGGCAGCTTGACCTGTATGGCTATCGAGGCGATGTTTGTGTTGTGCTTCACCAGAAGAGGCGCCAGGGGATAGTCTCAGGGCAATACTATATTATGTGGCGTACCTCACTGTGCTATGATGAGGCTATCGCGAGATTAAGAGTATGAGACGGGGATTCCTGAACCTTTGTTTTAGGTATGTATATTGTCCTGCTGGAATATGATGTTTGGTGTTACATTGCCATTTAACAACAGCCATTTCACTCTCAGTTGGTGTCGCTGAAAGTGTTTTGATATCTCTTCACTCTTCACTCTTTTCTCATTCACTCTCAGAAATCACACCAAGGCTATCAACTCCCGACTCTGACCATCAAGTACTCCGTGCGACCGCCGTCGCCTGTGTCACCCCTATATCTATACGGCTTTGGTTCTGATTTCCCCAGAGCACATTTCGTTACACCAACGTGACCAGGCCCGTGTCGAGGTGCGTGATGCGTGTAGAATGAGATGTGATGGCATATCCTTCTCCTGAGGATGCGCTGTCATACCCCAAGCAGCGTGAGCGCGATCTTCAGGTCGGAGGTCTCGCGTAGCTTCGCCAACCAGATGCGGGCGGCTTGATGAGATATCAATGCCGAGACTATCATGATGACGATGATGAACTGAGAGGCTGGTGGTAAGGACGTGCTGTAAGTAGCTGAGGTCGAAGCTCAGCAGGACCATAGCCCATAAGGATGTCGCTTGTCAAAGTACAAGAGACGCCTGAGTGTATGCTCGAGAAACTGGGGGGTTAAACGTGGAGAGGACGACAGTGTGCCTGACCTCTGAACTAGCAATACCCTTGACCAAAACCAAACTCACCACCAGCAACAGCAAAAGGAGGAACGCGATGCCACATGAAGTCGAGATAAGTGGGAGAGAAGCGACAAGGTCGGGTCCTTTTCTTCTTCACGTTCCAAGGCTTGCACTGACCATGATTACCAGCACACTTAAAAGAGATGGCCTAGTCATATCGACCCAGGACAATCATCCAAAGCCTGGGAAGAGAGACAGAGGAGGTGGCTACATGTTTGCATCCTGGATCAACGAGACAAGTCGAGAATGCTTGGCATCAACGAGATTCTGATACAGCAGACGGGTATGTTCGATCTTGAATCTTTCGTATTTCTGGATCTGTCTCAAACCTATTGCAGGTTCCCAAAATAAATAAATCTAACTCCGTGGTTCATCCCTGCCAACGCCAGCTCGAGATGATAATACAGGCCTTTTCTTTTCCTTTACTTTTTATTGATAGAAATGCCGGTGAGGCGGTATACGGCGGTGAACTTCCCCTTGCCACCATTCCGTCAATGGTCGAGAACCATGACAAGTCCGGTGGTAGAGAAATGGTAATCAACAGACTATCGAATTCGCTTGCAAAAATCAAAATGTTCCTTGAGGCTCAATTGGATTGGCCTGTTCTTTCGTGGCCCTTCTTCGCGATACTTTTGTAGCTCATTGAATGACAAGGGGGGTTGCTCCAAGCTCCTTGGCTACGCCAGCAGCATGGAAACCATCCAAAGTCACGGTCACAGCACCAGCCTGAACCAGCTATACAGTCTGTTAGCTTTGCCCAATATCGCAATGATCGTTACTTACAGCGCGAGAAAGATCCTCAATCAGGTCATTCGGGTCCTCGATACCAACGCACAGTCTGATGATATCTTCAGGCATTTGCCGTTCCGCTCGAGTCTTGGCGTCGATGCTGGCATGGCTCATCTGGCAGGGCATGCTGATCAAGCTGTTGACACAGCCAAAACTGACGCTGATGGCCCAGAGACGGGCAGCCTCAACAATACGCTCGGAAACGGCAGGATCACCAGTCTCAAACGAGAGCACAGCGCCAGCACCGCGAGCCATAGACCAATGCAGATCGTACTGGGGGTGGGATTTGAGTCCAGGGTATCGAACACGGAAGCCACGGGACTCTAGAAACTCTGCAATGGCTTGAGCGTTGGCTTGCTGTTTCTCCATTCGAATAGCCAAAGTCTTGACACCTCGCATAAGCAGGAAAGAGTCATTTGGTGATAGACCACAGCCCGTGGAGTTAATGACAAAGAATAGCTTGTCTCCAATCTGAGTGTCGTTCATGGCAATAACACCAGCCATGATGTCGTGGTGACCAGACAGGTACTTGGTTCCAGACTCGTACACAATGTCGCAACCCACATCAAGAGGGTTGAACAGCATGGGAGAAAGCATGGTGTTATCAACAACAACGAGAGCCTTGGGGTTGACTTCATGTGCCAAGCGAGCGATAGACGGAATATCCACAACCTTGATCAAAGGATTGGTGGGAGTCTCTAGCAAAACCATGGCGGTCTTCTCCGAGAGGCGTGCCCGCACGCTATCAACGGTTGTTGTGTCGACATGGTGAACAATGATGCCTTGGTTGGCAGCTAGGTAAGTAAGCAGACGGTGGCTGCCACCGTAGAGATCATCGCCAGTGATAACCTCATCGCCAGGTCGGAGTAGTCGAGTAATGACATCGAGAGCACCCATTCCCGAGCTGATAGCCAGCGCTCGCTGAGCGTTCATAATCTTTGCAAGGTGTCGTTCGAGGTGCGTTCTGGTGGGGTTTCCAGAGCGCGTGTAGTCATATTCTTGCTGGCCACCGCTGGCTGATGTCTGCTTGAAAGTGGCAGACTGATAGATGGGAACGCTGGAGGCGCCATATTGGTCCTTGCTATCTGTGTATACAAGTTCGGTGGCGAGGGCATAGCGTTTGCGACCATTGCGAGGGCTTGACGGAGCGGGAGATGGAGGGAGATCATGTCCCTCATTGTCAATTCGCTTGAGAGGGTTGGCTGACTTGCCAGAGTCAGTGGGCGAAGGGGCGGACATTCTCGATAAATTTAGTCGCAGCGTATGTGTCGAAGTCAAGTTGTATACAGAGGTGATGGATGGCGGGGAGAATGGTTCTAGCTTGGTCGGAGGAGGGGCGGGCGCTAGAGAGAAATCGCAACAGAGTTTATGCGACAAAAGCGAAACTCAAATACAATTGAAGAATGATTGAAGAGAGAGGAATTGAAGAGTTTCTAGAGGGGAGAGGTGAAGACTTGCCGAGTCAGAGCTTGGAGGAGAAGGGTCGCTCGGGAGTCGGGGAGTCATTCCCGCTGTCGGCGGTCTGGGCTGGAGAAGATGGACTGCAAACTCAAAACTCATTATCTGCACTGGATGAACTACGCAATGGGAGTGCCGTGTTTCTGTACAAGGGCATCTGCAGCGCCAATTACAGGGGATCTTGCACCATCTTTCAGTGACCCCTAGGGCTCTATAGTGCTGCTCGCATACCACTGTGACGGCTTGGGTCCCGCCCACCGCTATTCTTCTGGGTCATCCGACCGATTAACGGAGGGCGATTGATGCTGAGATACCTGCGGAATGCCGGCTGCCGGTGCTCAGGACAAGGTATATTGCTATCGAATCCCCAGAAACCCATAGTGGGGTATCCCAAATGACGTGATCAGACACTATCATGGCCCATCGCGTGCTGTGCGTCCCTGGTTAGTGAACTGCACTGTACGGGAACCCCGGAGGACGGAACCGGGCCCCGACTTGAGCACCGTGGTCGTATCTTCAGCCCTGGCGGACAATTTCAGTTTGTGGGGGAAAGAAGGACAGTGCGAGTGGTACGGTATAGTCGATGGTAAGCCTGAAGCAGACATCGTGATGCTGCTGATTGGGCAATGACTGGTGAGGTGCTGGCCAGGGTTGAGTGTTTCTATTCAACATTATCGGCCGTTGCTGGCCTGGATCGTTTGCTAATCATCATGCTAGTCCTGCTCCTCCGCAATCAGCTCCTCAACACCGCTCGACCGTCGCTTTGGTTGCAGTTTGATCTGTCCTCCTTCGCGGCCAAGGAAGTCATCTGATCTAATGCCACGGAATTGCCTGGGATCCACGGATGACATGGCGTGCCCACTCTCACGATGCTGCCGCATGTATTCTCGTACGGGCACCATTGCTGCATCTCGGCAGGCCTCCTTGATGTCACTACCAGAGAGCCCAGCAGTAATCCTTGCAACGTAATCGAGGTTGAAATACTCAGGATCCGTCTTGGTATCTTGCAAGATGAGCTGTAAAATTCGACGTCGCTGCTCTGTTCCTGGCAGCGTGACAGGAAATTTCTTTGGCATACGGCGAAGGATGGCCTCGTCAATATCATTGATACGGTTGGTCGCACCAAGAACCATGATTCGAGCAGGCATCCCTGAAGAATTCGAGGACGTCAAACCATCCCATAGAGTCATGAACCTACGTTTTGTTAGTGTCAATTAGATAGTGGCGATTGTTGTAGAATTACTCGGCCTTGACCATGCCACTGGCCTCATGCTCGCCACTTCTACGAGTACCGAGGACAGCGTCGATTTCGTCAATAAAAATAATAGCAGGCTGCATTTTTCGGGCCAAGGAGAAAACGGCACGGACAATCTTGTTCGAGTCTCCATACCATTTCTCTGTTAAAGTCGAGATATGCAAGTTGATGAAAGAAGCACCACTCTCATGGGCAACAGCCTTAGCGAGCATTGTCTTTCCACAACCCGGAGGACCGTATAGAAGAACACCGGAGGGAGCAGAGAGTAGAGGCGCGGCGTGGGAGTAAAGGTGAGGCATCGTCAAAGGGTATATGATCGACTCTTTCAGTTCTTCGATAATCGTATCCAGACCGCCGATGTCTGCAATTGTTAGCGAATCATGGGGAAAGGCATAAAGGCCTCAACCTGCAAGTTCACTCACCGTCAAACCCAACAGAGATGTCCTCAGGAGGGACCATCTCAAGTGCAACCAAGTTCTCGTATTCATTCAAGACCAGATCCTCCGGTCGTGGCCCCGTTCTCGAATCGCTATCATCTCCATAATCAAGTCCGTCCTTCTTGTGTCGGTTTAACCGCTCAAGGTGCGCTTTGGCTTGGCGTCTTGCTTGTTCATGTTTTTCTTTATCGGGGTCGGCAATGTTGCTCAAGATAGGGTTGAGGAAATTTCGAGCCACATATAGGCCAGCCGTCATCTAACAGACTGCTGTGAGCACAATGCCCTCGCATCCAACAGCGGATTTCGAAATATTGCACTTACCATGCCCGCAAAGAGCAATATGTCCATGGCGACATCGCCGAGCTTACGTCGTTCCCCCATGCCGAGGACCCAGCGCAGCCAAGGGGCTGACTCGGATGGCATGAGATAGCAAGGAGAGTAGGTGGCAAGAGGGCGATGACTGCCACACGATAATCAAGTCGGAATTGGTGGTAGTTTTTCCAGTTCAACAAAGATTTGCCTTTGCCGGCGTCACCTGGAAAGGCGTTGACAAGTCTAAAGGTTGAAGGCTGAAATGGGTGTTTGAAGAATAAAATGGAAGATCAATCAATATGCGCGTTTCGGCAGGAACCTAATGCGCTGGCACATGCCCACCCGACATCCCGTTGTTAGCGGTAAGTGGCGGCTAGTGTCAGTTTGAAAGCACGGGCCATAGATTCATGGATGTCTCTGAGCCCATTTGTTTACATGGATGGGTACCTCGATGAGGATCTCAAGTAAGATCCAAACTTTGATGTGGATTTATCCCCTCCAGCATTACTATCCCCGCCCATCACTTGCAATAATTGTCATTGATATCCGTGCAATTATAGTCGCGCATTCTTCAATTTCAATCCTTCAGCTGTCCTTATTTCTCTGGTATTTTTCTTTTGCACCTGCTTCTCTTGCGCGTGCTTTTGCGACACATTCATCCACGATCGTCGACACAAGTGACCATGCCACCACGCGCGCGCGCAAAGCCTGCAGCAGGCCTTGCTGGACTCTTGGCTTCAGATTCAGAACCCGATCTAGACATGTTCGATCAATCTGAGCTTCAAGCAGCCGTGCGGACCATGAGCACAACGAAGAAGCCCCGCGGTCGACCACCAGGAACGGCCAGCAAGGTCACTAAAACAGCACCTCGAACGACGCGTCGAAACAGCGCCGATAAGCTCGCGCCTTTGCCTGAAGCAATAGCGCAACCCGCTACTACGAGCAAAATCAATGGTGGTGCCACGAAGGGGGGGCGCAAGACCAAACAACTGGCCCCAGATGAAACGGTCACATTTGAGGATATTGGAGTTCCTGCAAGTGTTCCTGCGACTGAGACGAAAAAGGGGTTGCGGGGGCGCCCAAAGAAACTGAACGGCGACACCTCGATACTTGCTCCGGAAAGTGCTGTCAAGCGACGTGGTCGACCCCCGCGACAACCAACCACACCCTTTGAGGAGATTCCGGAAACGCAAGCAGAAGACGTGATGGAACTTGATGCCGTACCGGAAGAAGATGAAGATCGCGACTCTGTTGTGGGAACGACTGAGCCCTTAGAGTCATGGTCCAGCTATGATACCAGTGACGTCGCATTGCGGAGAAGGCTAGGTGAACTCACTAAGAAATACGAGGCTCTCGAGATGCGCCATCGGGATCTACGTGAGGTTGGTGTTCGAGAAGCTGAGCGGAATTTCGATCGACTTAAGAAACAAGCTGAAGAGCGAACAGCGGGTAAGTCTCATTGCATGAACTCCTCTGCGTTGCGCATTGTACTGACTTCCACAGCTGCTACGCAGCTTATATCTGAGCTTAAGGCTGAGCTTGCTGCACAGACTGCCCTGGCGAAGGAGGGTGAAGAGCTTCGAAAGCAACTGGAAGCCAGCGAGATCAAGGCTGAGAATCTGGAGGGCAACATTGAGAGCCTGAACAACTCTTTATCCGAAGCCGAGGCAGAAATCAAAACTCTTTCAACCAAACTGGCCGCTGTGAGGTCGGGAAATGCCAATAACAGGGTTCCAGGAAGCGCTATCAAAGCCTCGGGGCCAGCCAATCGCACAGCACAGGCGGAGGCTGCTCATGCTGCACAAGCCATTGCACAAGCCAAGGAAAACCTGTACGCAGATATGACAGGTTTGATCATGCGTGGTGTAAAGCAAGAAGACATAGGAGATACCTTCGATTGCATACAGACTGGGCGCAATGGCAGTAAGTTTAATGATCGATGGTCTCGCTCCATATGTATACTGACTATAGCCAGCCCTTCATTTCAAACTCACAGTAGACAACGACGATACTTCAGACAACATCGAGGATGTGCAATTCACATACCAACCACAGCTCGACGCTGGGCGTGATGTCGAGCTGATGGAAATGCTTCCAGACTATCTCACGGAGGAAATTGTCTTCCCGCGGTCTCAAGCGCCAAAATTCTACTTGAGGGTCAGCAAATCTTTGGCAGAAGACCTGTCCAGACAGTAGAATATGTTATTTTCGTTGTTGCGGTAGGATGTGTCTGTTGTTAGTGATACCCAAGACTTATTTCAGCGTTATGCGTGTACAAGCAAGCACTCAATGAGGATAGATTAGTAATGATTCTAGATAGAGGATCTGGTGACTGTACGGGTGTCAATGAGAACCTTGTTGATAATCAGTTTCTCAACACCGTTCGTTTATCAAGGTTGCAAACTTCCAATATCCGTCAAGGTGCGTGAGCTAGGTCATGGACTAGTGATCATGGAATGGCTGACATTTCCAGGACCATTTCCCTTATGATCGCTTGAGCCTATTAATCTTTTTAAAGTTCCCGCCCTTTGGCTGATCTGATTTGATACCAGGGCTCGATTTTACATTGACGGGACGGGAGGCTTGGATCCAATGAGACTTTAATGCAGCCAACCACGTGTAAAAGCTGAAGGACCATCCAGGGCCAAGTCAGCACCTAGCAGTGGAGGGGTTGTAGCGCAGGGCCATTAGCGTATTTCCCCTGCAGATGGGGTCTTGCACTAATTTGTCGGATAGACGCGTCCCTCGTCAGCGTCATTCCAATTCTGGCCACGGTTTAATATCTTGTCTTGACCTCCACCTACAACTCAACTCAATGGAGACTGTCTCTCATTACATCTTTGTTTGACGAGATCAAGGAGGACTTGTTCACTGCCTCTTGTTTCTCTTGATATTTGTTGCTTCTATTTTTCTTGTCCTCTCATTTAACGCACTTTCGACTTACGTGGCACCATTAGACTTTGATATAGCATCGTCTTCCACCCCCTGACTTACACCAACCAACCCATCGTCGATCATTCGAACTGTCTACACTTGCAACTACGCGCCGG